ATACATACATACATACATACATACATACATACATACATACATACATACATACATACATACATACTTACATACATACATACATACATTCGCTTCACCCCAGAATGGTGCAGAACTGCTCAGTCTATCTGGCTGCTCGTTTCCCAACACATCAGCATAACCTATAGAAAATATCCCCTCTTCCTTTAGCTGAACTCCAGCATCAATATTCGTTTGCAGACTATCAAAATAAGTTGCGGAATTTTTCCGTCTCTATAGTTAGCCCCTCGCTGTGTATCTACATATGGTTCTCAGAGCCTAAATGTGACTCTGTAGATATCTCACACCTAGTGCCATTTTCAGCTATGCGTTTCATTGTAAATTGTTTCGTTCCATTATTTTGAAGCTTGTGTATGTTTTTATTACTCTTCAGGGTTAATGGCTAAGGGCTGCCAATGCTGGAGCTTTCCCCCAAGATCTAGGGTTTATAGTTACCGTTTGGGTTTCCTAGTTTTAATTTTAAAAATTATGGAACATCTTGGGGTTTGAGTCTTCGTGTTGAAAACCTATAAGTGAAAAATATTTTATCCAGAATAATGTGCGCGCATATATCTATAATAGCTTTACTAGAAAATAATATTTTGGAATGTCTTAAAATTACCTAAAATGAACTGTGTGGAATTAATGTTACAGAAGTTTGAGGTTTGAACCACAAACTATTGATTATAGTCTTACTGTTGCATGTTAAATGTTGAATTAAGAATCGACATCACAGCATGCGGAACACTGCCATAAGTGCTCCGTCTCCATCTTCAGCAGCAAACGAAGAGTTCCAATTCCGATGGCACCAAAAACTGGCTGACTGTATATCCGTCTAATCCTTCCCCTGAGTGTTGAGCGTCTGCCAGATCCCCTCTCAACGCCATTCTCATCAGACCGTAATGATCTATTGGCGCATCCGCTCTGTTTACTCGTTCCCAAAGGGCTCTCACAATATCTTGCTTGTCATACAGCAGTACACCACCAAGAGGAGCAGAACCGGCCAGTCTCACTGCATGCTCATTTCCCAGCATGCCGGCATAACCTGGGGGGGAAATATACAAAGGAAATCCTACTGGGTTAAGCAAACTATTTTCGATTCTTTAGCGGCGCAATTTGTTCAGAAGCAGCGAACAAATTCCACTCCAAAGAATCAAAAACAGCATATAGAGGAATAGGTTATTGAAGCGAAATTTAAAGATTAGCTAGAACGGGACAATAACAGCAAGGACTCAAAATATTGTAAAGTGACACTTAGGAATGCAAATAAATCCATGCTTTCAAAACGTGCAGATTCTGTTAAACATGTAAGACATTTTGAGGCTGCAAGTATAAATACAATTTGATTTTTTTTTTTTTTTTTTCAAGAAACCTTTACAGTCTACAGAAAGCGAACAAATAGCAAAGAGTAAATTAATATTTTCATGGAAAAGCAGAAAAAGGCGTTGAAAACAAACCGGCCAAAAAGAAGGAGTTTCAAACATTTTCATAAAATTTAGCATCTGTTCATTTAATAACTACAAAATACTATTTTAGAATTCTGGGGGTGGGGGGGGGGGGGGGAATATTTTTTTTTCGTTCATATTTTGGGTTTTTGTCAGCCACATCTTGGGTTTTGACAAAACTCTTTTTGGCAATTAGCAGCCCCGACTAAAACTCGATTTGATTGGTCGGTTGATGGCAATGGTGGCTTGTTCAAAAATCTCGACTGGGCAGGAGAGACTTTCAGCGACTTTCACGACTTTTTTTCTCCCTCAAACTCAAGGAGATAGTGTTTTTATTTGATAGCACGTGTGCATCGTCATCCTTAGATAGTCAGCAACACAGGTAATGTTTTATCCGATGGCACTTATGTGTCGTCCACCAGAGTGTGTGTCGCATGACCTCACCGATTCATCATTAGACATTAGTGACATTAGCTTTTTAACTTAACAATAAATTATAAAGTAAAGACAGTAAAGAGTAAACAAACTAGAAAGCACTGCTTTAGTTTTCTTCTCTTCCTCTGTATACTGTACTGTATGGTTTTTTTAAAATAAGGGCTTTGACTAAGAAATAAGGTCCAATAAAGTAAAGCAAACTGGGTACATGGTTATCATTGAGAGATAACAAACCATTAGTTTATTATTTATTCATCACAGTCATGAGTCACGAACGACAAATCAATGATGAACGTTGTTGCGACTAGAAAGGCTTCATCAAACGCAACAAATAGTTATTATATAAATGGTAACTCAAGAATATCAGTTCAAAATCCCTTATGATGGGCTCTCCACGAGAAATATTAAATATTGGATAACTAAGTTTGGCTAATCTCCGAATAAGGGCCACAAAAATACCCTAACAGGGCCTCAGTCACATGTAAATTGCGAACTTCCGGCGACCTAAATTGCGCACTTCCAGCGACTACCCCCACCGCCGAGAGTATCTTCCACGCTGCTACGCACGGTGTGGATTCGGGCTAAACTAGATGGCTGGGACTCACAGGCAGCAGCTTCCGCATCTCCTGCAGCTTTGCTCATGAGTCTCAGCCATCTAGTTTAGCCCAATCCACGTCGCGCGTAGTGGCGTTGGAGATACTCTCGGCGGTGGCGGTATAGTCGCCGGAAGTCCACAATTTATATGTGACTGAGGCCCTGTTTGTTTGGTCGCCATAATATGTGGCTGTTATTCGGAGGATAGCCCTAAGTTAAGCTCCCCCAACCCCCTTTGTTTTTAAATTTTTAAACAAAAAAGTATTTGGAAACAGTCAAAGATACAATACATATCTAGGGAAAAGGCGGCGGTGGCGAGTTAAGCACAGATGTAAAATGAATGAATAACCACACCACAATGAAGACAAAGCTGTATGGTACACAAGAGGATATGCACTACAAGATAGCTTTCATAAAGGCTACCAGCCTCCTGATATATGTTTTCTGACAGAAGGATTGAAGAAGATTTTATATATATATATATATATATATATATATATATATATATATATATATATATATATATATATATATATATATATATATATATATATATATATATATATATATATATATATATATATATATATATATATATATATATATATATATATATATATAACCCCTGTGTGGGTTCCGGGGCCCTATTATAGGGAAAACAAGAATAGACCCACTGCCTGCCCAAAAGCATGTCGTAAGAGTCGACTAATTGGGAGCTTCCTTTGAAGTCGGAGTGCATCTGCCTGAGAGGCAAGGAACCAACCAACGGGTGCACACGCAACACTCAGGTACTGGAACAGGACTGCAGTCCAGAAGTGGACGAACAGCCAGAACTTTCCACCAGAGTTAACACCTAGTGAACGCAAAGAAGATATATATATATATATATATATATATATATATATATATATATATATATATATATATATATATATATATAAAAATCTTCATCGTCCTTTTTACATTTATCAAACTTTATGTCCGGACTACTCTCTCTGGGTGCCCTGGCTGTTCTTGGTTTACTGATTGTGTCTATGCTGTTTTTTCCCCCACTTGTAACTATGCTCTGACTGCTTATTTTCAACTTGTGTCTATGCTCTGACTGCTTATTTTCAACTTGTGTCTATGCTCTGACTGCTTATTTTCAACTTGTGTCTATGCTCTTGCTGCTTATTTCCCAATTGTGTCTATGCTCATGGCTGCTTATTTTCCACTTGCGTCTATGCTCTGACTGCTTATTTCCCACTTGTGTCTATGCTTTGACTGCTTATTTGCCACTTGTATCTATGCTCTGACTGCTTATTTTCAACTTGTGTCTATGCTCTGACTGCTTATTTTCCACTTGTGTCTATGCTCTTGCTGCTTATTTTCAACTTGTGTCTATGCTCTGACTGCTTATTTTCAACTTGTGTCTATGCTCTGACTGCTTATTTCCCACTTGTGTCTATGCTCTGACTGTTTTCCACTTGTGTCTATGCTCTTGCTGCTTATTTTCAACTTGTGTCTATGCTCTGACTGCTTATTTTCAACTTGTGTCTATGCTCTGACTGCTTATTTTCCACTTGTGTCTATGCTCTGACTGCTTATTTTCCACTTGTGTCTATGCTCTGACTGCTTATTTTCAACTTGTGTCTATGCTCTGACTGCTTATTTTCCACTTGTGAACATGCTCTGACTGCTTATTTTCAACTTGTGTCTATGCTCTGACTGCTTATTTTCAACTTGTGTCTATGCTCTTGCTGCTTATTTCCCAATTGTGTCTATGCTCATGGCTGCTTATTTTCCACTTGTGTCTATGCTCTGACTACTTATTTTCCACTTGTGTCTATGCTCTGACTGCTTATTTTCCACTTGTGTCTATGCTCTGACTGCTTATTTTCCACTTGTGTCTATGCTCTGACTGCTTATTTTTCACTTGTGTCTATGCTCTGACTGCTAATTTTCAACTTGTCTAATATTCTGACTGCTTATTTTCCACTCGTCTCTATTTCTTTACTGTCCCATAACCTCTGTCTTTGGCATTAACATTATGTTATCTGTGTCTTTGGCCTCAACATTAACATTTTGTTACCTGAGTTTTTGGTATCAACATGAACATTGTGATACCTGTGTCTTTGACATCAACATTAACATTTTGTTACCTCTGTCTTTGGCATTAACATTATGTTACCTGTGTCTTTGGCCTCAACATTAACATTTTGTTACCTGTGTCTCTGGCATCAGCATTAACATTTTGTTACCTGTGTCTCTGGCATCAACATTAACATTTTGTTACCCGTGGTTCTGGCATCAACATTACCATTTTGTTACCCGTGGCTCTGGCATCAGTATAAACATTTTGTTACCCGTGTCTTTGGCATCAGCATTAACATTTTGTTACCCGTGTCTTTGGCATCAGCATAAACATTTTGTTACCTGTGTCTCTTGCATCAACATTATTATTTTGTTACCCGTATCTTCGTATCCATTGCATCAACTTGAAGACAGTTCTATTTTTGTGTGTTTCAGAACATGGATAAAAAACCGGGGCATACGAAGGTCAAAGTTGTTGTAAGGGTAAGGCCGGCATTGAGTTTGGATGTCCAGGCTTGTGTCAAGGTTGCAGGAAACAAAGTGTCCATTCAGAATCACAGAAACAAAGATGAAAGCTTGCAGTATGAGTAAGTCTTCTTAATACTGTTGATAACTGTGTGCTATCGATGTACTCTATGTTGTTGATGTATTGTATTCTATGTAATGTTATGTAATCACAATCAACATCTTTGCACATTGGGCATCCCCATGCGTGCTCAGTCCTCCAATGCAGCAGCCACTCCAAGGTATCTCTACTGATTGTTCCCATGAGGAGTTGGTTATATTCTTCTTCGTTCACCGGCTGTAGACTCTGGCAGAAAGTTCTGCTTGTTCATCCACCTCCGGACTTTAGTCTTATTCATGTATTTCCATTTTACAGATCTGACTTATTTGTATGCAGACTGTTGGTTCCTTGCTTCTCAGGCAGATGTACTCTGACTTCAAAAGAAACACCCAGTTGGTCAACTCTTACAACGTGCTTGTTGGCGAGTCTGTAGTTCCATTCTTGTTTTCCCCATAGTGGGGCTCCAGGGCCCACATTGAGTTGGTTTAAGTATCTCCTGTCTTTAACCTCAAAGACGACATAGATGTGCTTTACCTTGCTTAACTCCCCAGTCACGCAGTCTTGTTAGCGCCAGACATTCGTCATTATCTCCCAACCTATTCCACACAGTGTTGATGCTCTCAGCTTGGTCTATGCTTCATCCTGTTCGCATTGGTGCATTTCTTGCCAGCTGGTCAGCTGTTCCATTACCATTTACTCCTGCATGACCAGGTGCGTAGATGTACTGTATACTAGTCATAGTAGTTGGGCTTTCAGCTTCACTGCACCGGGGTCACCCCTATAATTGCTGGATGTCATGAAGAGAATGAAACTACTGTTGTTGGCACATCACGAGTGATGAAGACCACTTTCATCCCAAGTAGTAATGATCAATGATTATGAGTACGAAGGTGGCTGATTAGTCCGGTATAAGCCTGGAAAGTTCTTGAGCAGTGCAGACAACCGTATCATAGATAGAATCTATTCCAGCGCCCTTGACCTCTCTTAGCAAAGTCCATCTTGGGGTTTCCCTTAGGAATCCTTGTTTCCTCAACCCATTTGTTTTTCAAATTTGGTGGTGCTCTTTCCGTTTCAATGCCCCCAGTATATTTTCGCCGTCTTTACCTTATAACTGATGATGCAAGCAATTGTCCATAGTATTCTTATACACATGTAGAATCTAAAAATCTACAGAAGTCTCTGTACTGATTTTGTACGTGAAGATTCTAGAACATTCAGTAGGCTGCTCTGGTACACTTTGTTCTGATGCAGATGCTAGAACAGTCTCTTGTACATACAGGGAAGAGAGGGAGCGCTTAGGGGGCCATGATCACCCCCTCCTCCCCCCCCCCACACACACACACACACACCAATACAACTGGGGTTGTCTCAACCACTCCCCAACCTCAAGGAGTTAAGCTGCCCCCCCCCCCCCTTTTTCAACCATGTATAGAAGTTCACTTCCTTTTTCTGTGGGTTCCAGAGTCCCATTTTAGTAGGAGGGGAGAATAAACCCACTGCCTCCTTAACAAGCATGTCGTAAAAGGCACCTAATTGTGTTTGCATGAGAGGCAAGGAAATAACAGTCTGCATATAAATAAGCCAGCTCGGTGAAACGGATGTGCACACAAAACTCAAGTTCTGGAATAGGACTAAATTTCAGAAGTGGATGAACAACCAGAACCTTCTGCCAGTGTTTACAAAGAAGTAGTTTTGTTGAAACAGTTTATTTTATTGGACCTATATTTGCCATTTAGTACACTATTATGGTTATTAAAGACTTGAAAAAAACAAGGGTGAGAGTCTTTTTTAGTCAAGTGCCGCCACCTCCCCCCCCCCCCCCCCTTTTTTTTTCCCAGTGTTTTCTTTATACCTACGCCCCTGCTATGTACATTAACATCAAACACGGTCTGCTGAATGGAAGATGTCTTGTCCAGTCTTTAGTATTCTTGTGGGCTGTTGGTGTTGTGCTAGTATGGTCTTCTGTAATGTTGTATGCTGCTACTATTGGTGTTGTGCTAGTATGGTCTTTTGTAATGTTGTATGCTGCTACTATTGGTGTTGTGCTAGTATGGTCTTCTGTAATGTTGTATGCTGCTATTGTTGGTGTTGTGCTAGTATGGTCTTCTGTAATGTTGTATGCTGCTACTATTGGTGTTGTGCTTGTATGGTCTTCTGTAATGTTGTATGCTGCTACTATTGATGTTGTGCTAGTATGGTCTTCTGTAATGTTGTATGCTGCTACTATTGGTGTTGTGCTTGTATGGTCTTCTGTAATGTTGTATGCTGCTACTATTGGTGTTGTGCTAGTATGGTCTTTTGTAATGTTGTATGCTGCTACTATTGTTGCAGTGCTAATGGTTTTGTATTGTTGTATGCTGTTGGTGTTGTGCTGCTGGTTTGTTATGTGCTGGTGTTGTGCTAATGGTCTGTAGTATTGTTGTATGCTGCTGGTGTTGTGCTAATGGTCTGTAGTATTGTTGTATGCTGCTGTTATTGCTAGTACAGCTGTTGTTGTGAATTCCCTCAACAGGTTCAGCAGTGTGTATGGGGAGACCAAAACACAGAGTGATGTCTTCAGTGACTGCGTCGAGCCCCTGTTGCTCTCCACACTGACCGGCCAGAATGTCTCCATATTTGCGTATGGTCCAACAGGAGCAGGTATGGTCTCCCCTGTGTACCTTTTATGCCCTACCCTCAGAACTGCACTTTCAGCTGTAATGCTTACATTGTTGAGTTTTTCTCTTAGACAGCTGACCTTCCACTGTATATGTATATAATTAACAAAGAGACAATGTATTGATCGGCACTCATATAAAGAAGTAGAACTGTATTTAGTCCTGTACATCTTTTTTTCTCCATTGATTTGTGTTATTTTATTTTATATATAAAACAAATTTAACATCTGATATGTCTTCTTCTTCTTGAACATTCCGAGCCCTTGAGGTTCATTGCTGCAGCTATCACCCGCCTCCACTCATCTCTGTGCTTGGACGTTTTCCAGTTGGTGATACCAAGTGTTTGCAGGTCTGTCTGGACATTATCTCTCTATTGTCTTATTGGTCTGCCTCGTGATCTATGACCATTTAGCTCCCTTGTGTATACAGTTTTTACTTCTCTGTCATCTGACATCTCAATATGCCCCAGCCATTTCAGTCTATTATCTCTCATGATGCCACTGATCAGATTATGAATTTTGTTGTTGCTTCTCTCTCTTCATTCCCTGCTGTTGGCATCTTTGTAGGTAGCATCTGAGATGTGACATGTGTACACTTCATATATTTATTGTCCTGTTGGGCCATTATATATCACATACCTGGATATCATCGATGGAAGCCAGTCTGGCGTATTTGACCTGTCTGATATAAACAATTGTCTTAGGGTTTCTCTTAGACATCCTCGTTTTCCCTTTCCCTTTATTTCCCATCTCAGTGCCTGTTTAGTGATTCTCAATACGTCTCTTCTCAGAATGGATGCAATATAGCGTCATCTTCTCTGTCTTATAACTGTTGATACAACTGGTTGCCCAGACATTTCTATTATTTCTTCACTCTTGAATTCATCTCTTTTTATGTTTGTCACTTTCCTGTGTAAAATGGGCGTCTTTTAATATATTTTTCTGTGAATGCCTGGGCTCAGGTTGTTTTGTTTTTTTCCCCACAAGGGTTTCCAGGGCAACATGGTAAATAGAGATACAGCTGCCAACATCATCAGCTATTTGTGTAGCCTAGGAAATGAGAGGCATGCTCAAATTATCTGTCTGTTTAGCCTAAGAAGTGAGATGAATGCTAGCATCAACTATTTGTTTAGCCTAGGAAATGAATGACATGCTATAATCAACTATTTGTTTAGCCCAGGGAATGAGAGAGACGCTATAATCAACTATTTGTTTAGCCTAGGAAATGAGAGACATGCTATAATCTACTGTTTGTTTAGCCTAGGAAATGATAGACATGCTATAATCAACTGTTTGTTTAGCCTAAGAAGTGAAATGAATGCTAGCATCAACTATTTGTTTAGCCTAGGAAGTCAGAGGCATGCTAAAATCAACTGTTTGTTTAGTGTAAGAATCAGGATAAATGCCATCAATTAGTTGTTTAGCATAGGGAGTGAGAGGCATGTTAAAACCAACTTAATTTTTAACCTAAGAAGTAGATGAATGGCAACACCAGCCTAGGCAATGAGATAAATGCCAACATCAACTATTTATTCAGCCTAGGCAATGTGATAAATGCCAACATCAACTATTTATTCAGCCTAGGCAATGTGATAAATGCCAACATCAACTATTTATTCAGCCTAGGCAATGAGATAAATGTCAACATCAACTATTTATTCAGCCAAGGCAATGAGATAAATGCCAACATCAACTATTTATTCAGCCTAGGCAATGTGATAAATGTCAACATCAACTATTTATTCAGCCTAGGCAATGAGATAAATGCCAACATCAACTATTTATTCAGCCTAGGCAATGAGATAAATGCCAACATCAACTATTTATTCAGCCTAGGCAATGAGATAAATGCCAACATCAACTATTTATTCAGCCTAGGCAATGTGATAAATGTCAACATCAACTATTTATTCAGCCTAGGCAATGAGATAAATGCCAACATCAACTATTTATTCAGCCTATGCAATGAGATAAATGCCAGCATCACCTATTTATTTAGCCTAAGAAATGACATAAATGCTACTATCAACTATTTGTTTAGCCTAGGCAGTCGGATAAATGCCAACATCAACTATTTATTCAGCCTAGGCAATTAGATAAATGCCAACATCAACTATTTGTTTAGCCTAAGCAGTGGGATAAATGCCAACATCAACTTTTTGTTTAGCCTAGGCAGTGGGATAAATGCCCAACATCAACTATTTGTTTAGCCTAGTCAGTAAGATAAATGCCAGCATCAACTATTTGTTTAGCCTAGTCAGTAAGATAAATGCCAGCATCAACTATTTGTTTAGCCTAGGCAATGAGATAAATGCTAACATTAACTATTTGTTTAGCCTAGGCAATGAGATAAATGCTAACATTAACTATTTGTTTAGCCTAGGCAATGAGATAAATGCCAACATCAACTATTTGTTTAGCCTAGGCAATGAGATAAATAGAAACATTAACTATTTGTTTAGCCTAGGCAATGAGATAAATGCTAACATCAACTATTTGTTTAGCCTAAGAAGTGACATGAATGCCAGCATCAACAATTTGTTTAGCCTAGACAGTGAGGTACATACTAACATCACCTTTCCCCCACCAGGTAAAACCCACACCATGCTGGGAGTTATGTCAGATCCAGGGATCATCCCGAGAGTGGTCCGGTCATTGTTTGCTTCCATCCAGGCAGAGAAGGATGCCAGCAGAGACCTCGGAGATGTCTCCCCACAGCACACAGTCACGTTTTCTTACATGGAAATTTATAATGAGAAGGTTTGTGACCTCTGTCAGGTTGTAGTTCTTTTGCCTGCTGTACCATCGGAATTGGAACTCTTCGCTTGCTGCTGAAAATGAGGACTGAGCACTTATGGGAGTGTCCTGAGTGCTGTGATGTCGATTCTTTATTCAACATTTATCATTTGCTGTTGTATTGGGGTGAATACACAGCTGGTAAACTGAGATGTGTGAATGAGGAAAAATGATCCAGATGATATTTTAATGCCAAGAATTTTGGCTTCCCCTTGTTTGCTCAAGGGCCCCACTGGTTTGGGGTTATATCCCCTGCCCCTTCAGCAGGATGTTGTAAAAGGTGACTAAGGATTTGCAGATATCACAGCCTAGCTGTAAACCACAACACAATGTGCGCCAACCACTTTTGAGGTTTTGTGGGGGAACACAGAAGAATATGGGCCAGAGTGCTACACACTGCACTGGCGTGGAAAATGCAGTAAAACCCTATTATCATGAACTCACTGAAGAAAATTAATTTTTTCCCAGCGGGGAGGTATTATTGTTATTTTCCCCGGATAGCATGATTTTGTTAATTAACTCAGTGTTTAGTCCCTTGGTATTTGTGTATGGGGGGGGGGGGAATACACACTCCCCCTTCCCCATTAAGCATGTTGTGACTTATTAGGAGAGTTTCATTCAAAGTCAGAATGTATCTGCCTGAGAGGCAAGGAGCCTACCGTCTGCTTACAAATAAGCCAGATCTATAAAACAAATGTGCACACAAAAGTCAAATTCTAGAATAAGACTAAAATATATCATCATCATCAATCAGCTAATCCTTTACAGAACGTGGCTGTCTTAATGGCATGCCTGAAAGTATCCCTTTCCCTAGTCAGCTTTCCAACCCCATGTGCTTTCATTTCCAATGTATCTTCCATGTCCTGTATGCATCTTCGCGGAGGTCAGCCCCTGTCTCGCCTTTCACAAACTGCACCCTCCAACACCGTCTTTTCCAAGCCCCCAACTTATATATATGAGAGGATGAAAAACTAGAGTTTCTGCCAGAGTTTTCAGCTGGTGAACGTGAGGCAGAAGAAGATGTTTGCTGTTGTAGACTTTAACAGTTCACTAGCGTCAGATGCTTTAAATTCTGCAGGTCCAGGATCTGCTGTCAGGCAAACAAGATCTGCCCATCAGAGAGGACTCCAACCACAACATTTTTGTGGCTGGTCTGACAGAGAAGACCATTGACAGCTTTGACACATTCAAGAGTCATTTTGAGCCCGCCTCCAGTAACAGGTAGGAGACATTGTCACATTCTTCATCTTCACTTCCTTTTTTGCCGTTTGAGATGTTGAGGGCAGTATAATATTCTTCTTCTTGCTCTTTTGTCACCTTATTCATGGGCATATCATACTCTTGCAGTTTCTCTCATGTTATCTTTTCTTTTTGGTCTGCCTCATGCTCTTATGTTCTTTCCTTGTTTGATGTAATCCTTGTATGATCTAGCATGCATTCTCTGTAAGTGGGCAAATCATTTTATTTGCTGTCTTTGTGTGAAATTCAGTATTGCTGTGTGTTGACTTTTTCTCTTCTGACTTCATTCTCACACGACAACTATCATCATCTGTTGGTTACTTCTCTTATATGTGTTTATAAATTTCTCACCCTACAGCTGATGTTAAGGCTGTCACGTCACTGTTGTGAAAAAAATGTGACCTGCCTAAATTAACCAGTTTTAGGGTGATGTGGAGCACGGGTGTTGTGAGCTTTAGGATTTAACCCCTTTTACCACAGAAATAGGTTGTTGTTTTTTTTTTAAAGTGGCAATGACCCTTGGGAATTCCCCGATAATTAAAAAAAAAAATTATTTATAAGGTCACTGATATATTTAAAAGAAAGAAACGATTAATTATTTATACTTGTTTATTTGTATTTCTAAATATAAAACAATGTTTTCCGTGGGGGGGGGGGGTGTGACCCTTATCCAGGCACACAGGGAAGTTTCAGGGGGCATTAAGTCATTTAAACTACCTGTGTGGGTTCCCGGGCCCTATTATAGGGAAAACAAGAATAGACCCACTGCCTCCCAAAAGCATGTCATAAGAGTCGACTAATTGGGAGCTTCCTTCGAAGTTTAAGTGCATCTGCCTGAGAGACAAGGAACCAGCAGTCTGCATACAAATGAGTCAGATCTGCAAAACAGATGCACACGCAACAGGTTCTGGAACAGGACTGTAGTCCAGAAGTGGATGAACAACCAGAACTTTCCGCCTGAGTTTACAGCTAGTGAAGGCGAAGAAGAAGTCATTTAAACTTTCTGTGTGTGTGTGTGTATAAATAGTTGTCCTGGACATTTATTGATTGACTATTTTCCTTGCTTTCCATTATATCAAACACAAACATATATATATATACTCCTGGGGGGTCGTAAGATCATATATTTGGTGTACATTTCTAAGTTACATAATAAACAATACAGGTGAGTGTGTCCCCCAGTTTGTTTTCATTCTGTTGAACCATGTTTTTTGTTCAGAACTGTAGCTGCCACAAAGCTGAACGAGAACAGTAGTCGAAGTCACAGCATTCTGATGCTGAAGGTTCATTGTAGGCTCCACAAAAAGCAGTACACGGGCAAGATCTACCTCATTGACTTGGCTGGGTCTGAGGACAACAGACGTACTGGCAACCAGGGCATTCGGTAATCTTTGTTACGTGTGTGTTTCGTGCAGGTAGTCTTTCTGGTAACCAAAGGTCCTGGTCCACGGGGACATGATGTAGTTAGGACATACTGTAGGCTGCATATGTTGGTACATATTACAAGACTAGCATGTACTAGTAGCTGTTGCGTATTGCTTCATTGATACATATTGCGAGACTGTAACATATTCCCAAACTTGTGTGTATTCATTGTTAGTATATATTCCAAAACAGATATCTAAGGTGCACAAATTCATAGATAATAGGTAAAGACTGCATAGAGACATTCATATGTCACCTTTTTCAGGAAAACAGCAAATGATTAATAGGATCTTCATCTCTACTTTATGCTATCAGTGCCAAATACTGACAATAAGTAGGACACTAGATCAGAAAATAACTGCCTGTGAAATGTACTGTTTCTGTAAGGTGACTAACAACACAAGAAGGGACAAGGTTACAAACAGCAGCATCGGACAGTGCCTGAAACAGACAAAGAATGAAATGATTCGGCCATCTAGCCCTGAAGCCAAAGCTTTTTCAACAGAACATCTGGGAGGAGGGCAAGGCGAAAACCAAGAAAGAGAGAGATAAATGGTATAGCCAAAACCTGCACACACTCAAACAAAAACAGGAACAAATCCATTACCTAAGATACCTTGTTTCCATCTGTTGCCCTCACATGCTTCTATATTTTCTGTGTTGCAGACTAAAGGAAAGTGGAGCCATAAATAAATCACTGTTTGTACTGGGTGAGGTGGTTGATGCCATTAATCAGAACTTGGTATGTACCTCTTCGTACATCTGTTTATTTGTTCATATGCACACAGGTTAGCTAGTATTATATAAGTGTTTGAATGTGCCATTTTGAGGGTCCTGACAGCAGTGACATTTGCATTGACAGTGATCTAGTCAACCAGCAAGTATGAAAAGTAGCTCAAAGAGCCCTTTATTTCCCTATGCCCCCCCCCCCCCCCCTCCTCTCTCTCTCGATTTTAAAAAAATCCTTATTAATCAGTCTCTGTAGTGAATTTGTATGAGAACTACATGGGGGAGCATGCACAGCAGGGGTCCATGGGTCATCAGTAGAAAGATCCCTTGTCGACAATTGTTTCGGCCTATTACTTCCTATACAATCTCGGAAGGTAGGCTGACCTGGTTCATGACACCAGGCCTTGATCAGTAAAGAACACAGTTCATGAGCACCAGACAAAAGAGAACTAGACAGCATCATCATCATCATAAACCACTTGATAGAGAACTAGACAGCATCATCATCATAAACCACTTGATAGAGAACTAGACAGCATCATCATCATAAACCACTTGATAGAGAACTAGACAGCATCATCATCATAAACCACTTGATAGAGAGAAACTAGACAGCATCATCATCATAAACCACTTGATAGAGAACTAGACAGCATCATCATCATAAACCACTTGATAGAGAACTAGACAGCATCATCATCATAAACCACTTGATAGAGAACTAGACAGCATCATCATCATAAACCACTTGATAGAGAACTAGACAGCATCATCATCATAAACCACTTGATAGAGAACTAGACAGCATGTGGAAAGGACACATACAGTTGAACATTTTCCATTTCCTCATGTGGGTTCCAGTGCCTCAGTGAAGGGAGGAGGGGGCATGGAGGAAGAATACTGCTTCCCCCTAACAGTGAGGGAGCTGAGTGGTCTCGGGGCATGGGGTCCACCTCAAGAGCTGGGGGTTCCTGGCGAAGGCTGGAATTTCAAGTAATTTCTCCTGGTCTCTGGCGAGTAAGATCAGACACCCCTGTGTTTTGCTGCGCACATAAAAAATCCCTTGGCAGTTGGAAATCGAAAATAGTAGCCTAACGGAGCTGCCCGGACGAAACTTGGAGTTTAAAATCTACCCAAAGTATTTCAGGATCCTCGTCAGTGCTACAGAGTTTGTGCACTTCACTGAGATTCTTCAGGTTCAGACTTGAGTTGGAAAAAGAACGGAGCACTTGTGGTTTACTATCCTTGTGCATTGATGTTGATCCGTTGTTTAAACCTTAACCCCTAAAAAGCTTGTAGTAAGAGTCAACTAATTATGGGTTTCCTTCTAAGTCAAAGTGCATCTGCCTGAGAGGCACGGAACCAACAGTCTGCATACAAATAAGCGAGATCTGTAAAATGGATGTGTGCACACATCTCAGTCGACAAAGAACAAGAACTTTCTGCTAAGAGTGAACGCAAAGAAGAACATTTTGACCAGTCTTACACTCATGCAGGCTACGGGGCCCCGTTGGGAGGGGGGTGGGAAGGTAGATCCACTGCCTTTCTATCAAGCATGCCATAAAAGGCAACTAGTTAAGGGGGTTTTTCCTCCAAAGTGGGAGCACATTTGCCTGAGAGGTGAGGAACCAGGTCTGCATACAAAAAAGCCAGATCTGTAAAACAGTGCAATGCTCGATTTAAGTTCTGGAGCAATACAAAAGTCCAGAAGTGGATGAAGGGCCAGAGTTTACGGCCGGTGAACGCTAAGAAGATTTCACAGACCTGAGTCTTTCCCCAGTCTAATCTAAATGCTTCAGCATCACATGGAGCTAGTTACCTGTTGACTTTACCAGCTTGTTAGTTTTGTTATCAAAACTGTTATGAATACGCAGATTGGCTGGATCTACACCACTGGGTGGTGAAGTGATTCATGACAAGGCAGATGTGGTCAAGACCCTTTGGGAACAAGCAGCGGAATCAGTAAAGACAGAAGATTATTATGGCCTGGATAGAATAAGGCACCAGGGTGTAACCAGAGGGTCTAGTTGGCTCACTACACTCAGAGGAAGGGCAAGAGGGAGATATAACCAGATTGTGATCAGTACCATCAGTGTTAGAACTCGCGCTGGCTGCTGAAGATGAGGACCGAGCATGTATTGGAATGCCCCAAGTGCTTTGATGTCAATTCTTGACTCAACTCAAAAACTGTCATCTTTGAGTTGCAATTTGTGGCGCCAGGTTATTTTTTATTCCCCTTTAGCCCCATAGTTAAGCCTGACATAAAGAATACACCAAAGAACAACAGCAGTTAAAATGACACTTCTTCCGTCGGGGATTTCCTTGTTTGTTAGCACAAACCACAAAGATTCATATTTAAAACACCAAGAAGCTCATGTTAAGTTTTTAGGTAATTATCATCATGTGCGCTGCCAGTAAGCGCAGGCGCTCATGCATCTCCACAGATTACGATCACTGGTTGCCTGGAACAGCTCTCTTGATGATATCCCTCCACGCTATTGTTTCGACCCATTCAGCTTCGTCTCTCTTGGTCTGCTTCTACCCCTCTTTCCACTGATCTTTCCAGTTGTCATGATGTTTTCCAATGCCTTTTCCTATTACGAGGCCAAAGAACAGTCTTTGTCTCTTTGTTGTTGTTGTATACAGAGATCTACTTTCGTTAGCTTCTTTCAAACAACCATTCTTAGTTACTCTGGCCCTCCAAGATATTCGTCTCAGAAACCACATCTCTGTTGCTTTCGAATTCTTAATTTGTTCACTGACATTACAAGATTCACTGCATACAGCAGAACAGGTTCTATGTATCATTTTAGCACTCTCTTTCTGACATTAAATGAGAGTAATTTATTGCATTTTATATGTTAGGTAACGATAGAGTTAATTCAAGCTAATCCCCAAGCGGTCAACAAGATTATCTCACTGAAAACTACTTACAGTCAAACATCCGTGACAGCAGAAGTAAGCAATCATTATATTTTTACTCAAAACAAGGATGTCGGCATCGTCTTTAACCCCTTTAGTTTCAAAAAAGGTACATTTGTATTCAACTCTCCAATTTATAAATAAGCTTGTCAACTAACTCTGTGACAATTGTTGTATCGAATATCACTGTATTTATTATACTTGCAGCCTCGGATTCCCTACAGAAACAGCAAACTGACACGACTGTTGCAAGTAAGCGCTCCCTGTCGTGTGCCTGTTCTGCATTTATTTAGTTTTTTTTTTTTTAAATTTATTATGAGTTCTCTTGTTTGTTCTGTATCAATGTTTATAAAAGCAAGATGGTCTTATAATCAAACTACTACTAGTACCATCGAAATTGGAACTCTGCACTGGCTGCTGAAGAAAGAGATGGAGTGCCTTATGGAATATCCTGAGTGCAGTAATGTAGCTTCTGATTGCAGATTTTTGTTTTTCTTCTTCTTCGTTCGTCCGAGTAACATAAATGTGTTGTGCTTGTTCATGGCATTGCTACCATATTTGTGCCTTTCAGTCGACACATCCCGCTTCTTGTATCTGTTATCCTGGTTGACTTGCTGGGACATTTGTTGCCTCGTGTGTGATGTGACATCCCCTGGTCCACAGGTGTTGTCTCTGGAGGACCCTCCAGGGCAGACACGTACAGACTGATCAGCCTTCAAGTCCGTCCATTGACCAGCAGTATCGGTTGTAACTGTGGTCTGGTTTCTTTGTGCCAGTTATGTTGGCTAAGAAATGTTAATTACACCAAAATTATTGGCTTGGACCGGTACTCTAGCACCTAGTGAGGGTTGTTAGGGAGTGGGCTGGTATCAACTATTCACGCCCACACACGTATATAGACGTACATATCGTAATGCAGGGTCAGCGCATGGTAATTACACACCATCTAAGTAAGCTTATATAAATGCAGAACCGATACTTGGTGCTCTGGTTCCGGTCTCCCCCAAGGAATCACTAAATTGTGCACATGACTGCTGCACTTGCTACTGACGATGGGGACGAAGGGCCTTTGGAAATATTCCAAGTGCTGTGATGTCAGTTCTTAACTCATTTTTGTTTCTTTATCTACTGTTATTGGCTACGATTGTTAACAATAATTTCTGTGTGGTATGCAGGATTCTATTGGAGGCAGTTGCCAGTCTGTGATGATCACAAACATTGCCCCCGAACCACACTACTACTACGACACTTACTGCACTCTCAACTTTGCCACAAAGAGCAAGAGAATTGTCAATGTCAGTACTGTCAATGTCAAGGAAGACAGCCCACCTAGTCAGCGTAAGTTATAGTTACTTAGCGTATGTTTTAGTTACTTAGTCAGCGTATGTTATAGTTACTTTGTCAGCGTAAGTTATAGTTACTTAGTGAATGTGTCAATGTATGTTATAGTTATTTGGTCAGTGTAAGTTGTAGTTACTTAGTTAATGTCAGTACAACATACAGGATCATGTATGTCCTGGTAATCTTATAGTCCTTTGTCGGTGCAAGGTATTTCTCACAATATATGCAGTACCCTGGTCAGTACAACATACAAGATCGTGTAATTTTAATACCCTTAGGTTCTGTGAACAAAAACGTCTACTAGCAAGCTCTGTGGAGAGCTTAAGCATCACAAGGCACAAAACATGCCTTGTCAGCTACTGCGCCCCAGGATATTGAATATGTGCTGCAGACATGTTCTCTTCTTTCAGCAGGGAGATCGAGCCAATTAGCATTTAGATGGAAACCTTACTATATAAATCCGTAACAGACATGTGACACATCAAGGCCTTCATTTGTGACTACGTCACAAATGACATTTGACGCTCAGACAGGTTACTTGTTTTCAGCTCAATTTTGGTGATGCAAATTCCCCATTTCTGGGTTGGGAGTCTAAAGGTTCCATTTCGCTCAGCTACTGAATTGAGCGCTTGATGCGATGCTGAGACGTGGAATGGGATTTCTGTTGTACCCGCAGCATATTGACTGCAGGAAAATGACAGGTGACCAATTATGTTAAGAACTTCTGCGGATGCAATGCTGGCTTTCATTAGTGACCGCTTGTGCCTACAGTGAGCTGCAATTCTGTAGTGGGACCGTTAGTGTTGGCACATCTGACAGTTGCTTTATGCATTTTTGTGCACACTTAAAGTTTAACTGGGACTGACACAGTTTTTCACTTGTTTTCAAATGGGGCAGTGACGGACATTTTGTGTGATAGTGACTGGCAAAGGAACTGGAGCAGTTGTGGGGTAACCCGTCTGCAGTGATACTGGAACTTCGACTAACGACTCACAGTCTTCATAGACTTTTACCTTTTTTATCTGAAAACCATTTGCAGGGAGAACAAACAGAAGATATAGTATCCTCTGTAGTTATATAACTAAAGCGGCCATGTCCTACTTTGCAGGATCTGGTAGTTTGCAGCATGTGAAGACTTGTCATCTGTTATCACCATAAAAAATTGTCTGTCATTACCACTGTTTCTCTTCTTTTTCTTCTTTTTTTTTTCTTCTTCTTGTCGCACAGAAGAATTAAATATAGTTTCCTGTCTTACTAACTGCATTGCTTATGGTATTATCTTATTGTGTTTTCTGTAATGGTTCTTTCACTCCCTACACTGTCTCTTTTTTGGTCGGCCTCTTGCCATATAGCCTGCTGTTCTCATGTAGTTTACGATAGCTGCTGACTGATTTTGTTTCATTCTGACCAGCTAACTAAAACATTTGATTCTTTGATTTTCGATGAAATTATTTACCGGCTACTGTACCTGTTGGCGTCTGTGGCTTCGGGGTTGTGAGCATACTTCGTAATGCCGGGGTTCCGAGCTCGATCCTGTCTGCAGAAAATTTGGCAGCAGAATGTTTTGCGTTGGTTTCGACAGTGGTACCAAGAGCGACCGTTCAGGAAGAATTGGCAAACTACTGAAGGGAAAATTTGCCTTAAAAAACCACAACAGCCAAAAAGTGCTGGGGTTGGTTCTGCAACGTCCTGTAAACATACGCAACTAACTTTTTAACTGTGCCTACAGTTGTTCTTAGTTTTTCATTGGTGACTCTGTCTCTTCTTGTCATTCCCTGCATGTTTCGTATACATCTCATCTCATCTCACCTGTTGTAATTGTGTGTTTTTGTGTCCATTGATAGCACAAAGTTGTTACATTTATTTTTTTTTACTGTATCTGTTGCTACAGCCAAACCGACAGCAGCGGTGAAGCCCTGCAAGCGGAGAAGTTCCCTGGTGCCTGAAGTCAGCAGCAAGAAATCCAGGCTGTCACTGTCATCCAGCACAAACACTGCCGTGGCCTCATCATCATCATCTAGTTCTATGTGTGCAGATGTGACCTTGTCATTTCCCAGGTAACCTTGATTGATGCTGTTTGTAGGTGGAATAGGTTCCAACAGGCATCAGAGTTAAAATATCTGGGAACAACATTCACCGGAGGTGGCAAGATGGATGAAGAAATGGACGTCCAGTCAAGCAAGAGCAGCATGTGGCCGAACGGTTAGTACACCGGGAGACCTGGGTTCAAATCCCCAGTATGGTTGAGGATGCAAATATATAAATCCTCACCTGCGCAGAAAGTGGCAGGAGCACTAGCCATGTGGCCTTAAATCCTCAAGCTCAAAGACACCCTTGCCTACACGACAAAAGTGGTAAAATAAATGCAGTAATTGGCAGTTAGTTATCTTGGGGGGGGAAGGGGGTGCTGACAATTGACTGCCAAGCTACAGCGCGCTCGGTTGCTTGATATGCCGTGATGTTATGCAGTCTCACGGTGTCAGTGACTCCCTCAGTCCATACTCTTCTTTGTTTTCCCCTGCCTCCCGGTGTTTCGATTTTCAGATTGTATGCTGTTGCTGCTGGCATCGTTGGTTTTATTCTCATTAGATGGCCAAAACATTTTATTCTTTGTTTCTCAATAAATTTGATGATGGGTCTTGTGATCGCATGGTTTCTCATTCCTTCTCTTCTGGTTTTATTCACAGCAATCCTCGAACATCTCATCTCACAGCTGGTTAGTTTTCGCTCGTGTACTTTTGTCAATGTCTAAATCTGACACTGGTAACCTAAAGTCTGTAGACTTTTGTATTGTATTGTGTCGTTGTCTGTGTCTTTTTGTCTCTGTTTGGATGAAAGAGTTTTAGAACTGGAGCAAGTTGATGCGTGACAATGGCTTGTTGGATTCTCATTTCTACCTCTCTGTTTTACCATTGTATGAAAAGATTTTTCCCAAATATTTAAATTCTTGCACTTGTTTCAGACTTTGATCTTTGTGTTGACGGTTTGTTGCTCTCTACTTGTCTCATGACTTTTTTTTTTTTTTACTATTGATCTTCATGTGATGTTTAAGGCAACTGTTTTGAAGTTGGTTTATGTGATCCTGCAACTGTTTACTTTCACTGTGAAATATGCACTAATCGTCGAATAGAAGTAGATTATTGAAGTCCTCCTGTTTATCGACATCTGATGGTGTTATGTATGAACATTTAAATGGGATGAATTTAAGGCAGGCAGAGAAATGGACAGAAAATGGACAAACAAGCACTGAAAGGAGAAACATATAGATTGAGGAAATGAAGACATTTAAGATAAACCCTGAAACGAATGTTGTTTAGAGAGGCCAAGGGTACTGGACTGGATTCCAACCATGATATCCGGAGGATTGAATGGAAGGGAAGACTAGGCTCCAGCAAGGTGATGATGTGTGCCTGTCATACTATTTAACATTTTTGTTTTTGTTTATCAAGTGCCTGTATTTTGTGGTTACCTTTGTGTATTGATGTCTGTATTGTTTGGTTATCTGTGTCTATTTATGTCTGTATTGTATTATGTGGTTGTCTGTGTCTATTTATGTCTGTATGACATAGTTTCCCGTCTATTTACATCTGCAGTCCATTATTGCGGAGGCACAAAGAACTAGAGCTGGCCTATGAGACCAAATTAAAAGCAATGGATAAAGTATTAAAGGATTTGAAGAAAACAGCAGATGACTGCTTGGGCCTGGATCGGGTAAGATCCTCTGTCTGTTTTGTGCATATTTAGTTGGATTATTTGGTGCTTCATTAAGTTCCTACCCCAAACAGGGAAAATCCACAGGTCACAGGACAGTCTAATATCTAAGGTGGTGGTAGATAGGCTGCATGCAGTTGTTGAACCTAGGCTGCTGGCATTCATGGGACTTAGGCTGCACTCTCTCATGGGATGCAGGTGGGTTGGGGTTAAGGCTTGTTTTGGGGTCAGTAAAGGCATCAGAAAGCTGAGAAACCCATTTTTACCACCCTCTGAAATGTTGGACTGTACTGTGATGTCATCTGGGGTAAGATATTCATAAAGAACCAATTATTTTATTGACATTGTTGATCAAGTGGTTTGGCCATCTCGTTAGAATGCAGCAATATCAAATACCATCACAAGCATTACATTTAATTAGATCAGCTACAAAAGCAAGAGTACGGCCGCAAAAGAAATATGGATCGACAACATTAAAGGCACTCTACATCTTTATGGCACAATAACCAGTCGCAGCCAGCGTGCACTGGGTTGGAAAGGTCAGCCACAGACCTTTCTTATTTTTGAGGGTCAGCTACGGACTTTCTTATAGTCATACTGAAGAACTTATTATAATTTATCTGTACCAAAAAAAACCATATTGCAAATTCCAAGGAACCAAAAATATAATTTTTGTGTGTATGTTGTTTTTTTTTTTGTTTTTTTAAATGTTATAACTAAGGACTAATAATAGTAATAATATGTCTCCGCTGGCAACAAAATTTTGGACATGTTACGTGTTCTTAAACGAGCTGGTGTTGGCGATGTTTTGCTGCATTAGAATGTGCAAAAAAGAAGTGCATTCTGAATTTTTTTTTTTTTTTTAAATCGTGGTGTTGCGGGCTGATTCATGTGAGTTGTAACACTGTGGCAAGACAACATGGTGGGAATGGTGTTGGGGCAAGGGTATATACTGGGTTTGAGTCGACCGCAGAAGGCATACAGAGTACAGCAGTAAGATTCAGACAGTGAGGTCTGAGAGCCAAGAGTCTCGGTCGCGGTGCAGTCGAAGAGAGAGAGTCCAGTTGACAGAGTTGGGCCACGAGGACTGGACACTCAAGAGTAGCTGTTTTGGGTGACGACGCAGGGAGTCGTAGGCTCACTAGTGAAACAAGACAGCAGGGATGCCGACGATAGCTGTGTGCTGAAGGGGGGGGGGGGGGACTAGGAGTCCTGCCGGTCATCGGAGTCCTTCGACAAGGCTGATCTGCTGTGTGCACATGCTGGAGAAGGCGTGTTATGAGTCCGTTTCCAGTCAGCCAATGTGTCTGCTCAGTGTTGAGCAGAGGTCCAGTTGATAGGAGAGATTTCCTGTTCATCTGTACAGTGAGCCCCGGAGTTGCGGGACGCTGTAGACCTACCAACTGTAGTGGTCAGCTCGCATGTGGTGGCGGTGAGTGCAAGCCGCCAGGAGAGCGACGCTATACTTGAGAAGCGAGCAAAAGGAGGGGCTAGGTTTACATGTTATCTAGGACAGATGTCTACATCACTTGAATTGTTGTCTGTGTGAGGGCTGGTGACTACCCTCTGTGTCGTAACAATAAATGTACGTATATGGCGGACATTACGTCGTTGAGTTTTCCAGAGAGTTATGTGTGTGTGGGGAAGCAAGAACTGTATCCTTGGACACTTGACCGTGTGCTGATTTGCTGTTACACCCAGGACAGCACACAACACGTGGATCCCATAGATTTGTTTCCGAGGTTAGGGGGGTTCCATGGACCACCAAATGGGAAAGACTGTCCACTGAAATAGACTGATGAAACTGAATTTTTGGGGTTATCTTTCCTTGACAGGTTGCTGTTCAACCAAACACCCCGGCACGTTCTCAGCGATCATCTCGTAGTTCTGGAGCATCACCTGACATTGTTTTCTCGACTCCAAATATTCAGGCAAAAGCTGGGAAGCTTGTCGGTGAGTTTATTGAGTTACTCTTGCTAATGGTAGTGTCCGTTTCTCCATGTCATGCCAGTGTTTTGGGAAATGAGCAGGCAGGCTGGCCAGTTCTGCACCACTTGAAGGTGAATTGGTATATGACAAGCTAGATGTTGTGAGGGCCTTTTGGGAGCGAGTAAATAAATCACTACGATTTGAACAGAATGGCGTTGCGAGCAGTTATCAGGGGATTTGGTCAACACTCAGGGAAAAGGCAAGACGGATGTATAATCAGACAGTTAATGGTGCCAGTTAATAACATATTTTAGAAGCATGCAAATAGCTTTTCATGTTGCACCCTGTCAAAGGCCTTCTTAGAATCTACAAAACATGCATAAATACTCTTCTGGACTTCTATAAATATTTCAGTCACAACACCGGTTGCAAAGTCACCACTTCGTCTTGTCCTTTCCGAACATCTTCTTCTTCTTCTTCTTCTTCGCGTTCACCAGCTGTACACTCTGGCGGAAAGTTCTGGTTGCTCGTCCACTACTGAACTGCAGTCCTGCTCCAGAACATGAGTGTTGCGTGTGCATCAGTTTTACAGATCTCATTCTCTTGAATACAGACTGTTGGTTCCTTGCCTCTCCGGCAGATGCACTCCAACTTCAAAGGAAGCTCCCCAATTAGTCGACTCTTACGACATGCTTTTGGGGAGGCAGTGGGTCTATTCTTGTTTTCCCCACAATGGGGCCCCCGGAACCCATCTGATAATGATGTTCGAGGTCTGGCGTCATGAACCAGGTTGTGCCATCTTATGAGATTGTCTAGGAAGTTAATGGGCCAAAACAAGGGTCAACAAGGGATCTTTCTACTGATGATCGGTGACCCCTGCTGTGCATGCTTCCCTGTTGTTGTTCTAACAGTCAGCATCTCTAAACAAATTATGGCTCCCCTAGGGCCACAATTGTTCCTTAATCAGACACTTCATTATTTTTTTTACTTTGAATTCTTTCTTGAATGGTCTTGAGAATTATTTTAGTTATATGGCTCATTAATCTTAAAAGTTTACAGCCTGTTATCACTGAGAAGTAACATCAAATTACCACAGATCTACTGTAGTAGATAATGTTAGACAGTGTCTTTTTTTTTTTTTTTTTCAGATACAAACTTGTGTCAGATCAACTACAGTAGACAGTGCCTTACATTCAGACAGTACAACCTTATGTCGCAGATCTACAGTAGACAGTGTATTGTGTTTCAGACAGTAACAGACTTACAGCACAGATCTGCTATAGTGTACCTCTTCGCGTTCGATGGCTGTAACCTCTGGCAGAAAATTGTGGTTGTGTCTCCACCTCTAGACTTTAGTCCTTAGCGCCTGAGTGTTGGGCACAATGGAGCCCCGGAATCAACACACGAGAAGAATAGTAGACAATCTCTTATATATCAGACAGTACCAGGTTATGGCACAGATCTACTATAGCAGACAGTGTCTTGTATCAGACTGTACAAGCTTATGGCACAGATCTACTAAAGCAGACAATCTCTTATGTTTCAGACAGTACCAGGTTATGGCACAGATCTACTATAGCAGACAATCTCTTATGTTTCAGACAGTACCAGGTTATGGCACAGATCTACTATAGCAGACAATCTCTTATGTTTCAGACAGTACCAGGTTATGGCACAGATCTACTATAGCAGACAATCTCTTATGTTTCAGACTGTACCAGGTTATGGCACAGATCTACTATAGCAGACAATCTCTTATGTTTCAGACAGTACCAGGTTATGGCACAGATCTACTATAGCAGACAATCTCTTATGTTTCAGACAGTACCAGGTTATGGCACAGATCTACTATAGCAGACAATCTCTTATGTTTCAGACTGTACCAGGTTATGGCACAGATCTACTATAGCAGACAATCTCTTATGTTTCAGACAGCACCAACTTGTGGCGCCAACATGTAGATACGATGATGAAGAAAAGCAACAGATTGAAACTCAAGAAGACAAAGCCAGAAGAGCCAAGCTTAAGTCCCCTGTTCCCAGATTCTCCTGTTGTGTGTAAAAAGACAGTCACCAAAAGGAGGAACTCGGACCTGTCACCCGATAGGCACAAAAAGATACAAGAGTTGAGTACCAAGTTCAGCAATAACAACGAGCAGTTCCACCGAAGTAATTCTTTGTGTTTGTTGAAGTGTATGTCTGTCTGGACTTAGTTGGTTACTATGCGTGTACCTGCATAAATTGTGTACTGCATGTGCCTTGTGGTAGTCTTGTCACATGTCCAAACCATTTGATCTGTTGACGTGAGAGAAAAATGCAAAATGTCCGCCACTGTCCCATTTGAAAACCAGTGAAAAACTGTGTCAGTTCCATTACTGTTTCCATCTCAACATGTTTCCTGATGCAATCATTCTGATCATAGAAAATGGCCGCTTTAGTTATTTAACTACAGAGGATACTATATCTTCTGTTTGTTCTCCCTGCAAATGGTTTTCAGATAAAAAGGTAACAGTCTCTATGAAGACTGTGAGTCGTTAGTCGAAGTTCCAGTATCACTGCAGACGGGTTAGCCCACAACTGCTCTAGTTCCTGTGCCAGTCAAAATCACGCAAAATGTCCACCACTGTCCCATTTGAAAACAAGTGAAAAACTGTGTCAGTCCCATTTTACTGTTTCCATCCCAACATGTTTCCTGATGCAATCATTCTGATCGTGTATTTTCTAGTTACAATCGAGATTCTTCATCACAACAGCCTGCGTCCTCTAAGACTGTCCCAAATACAACATATCAAGGCAAAACTTTTGGCCACCAGAAACACCTGTGCAAGCCCAACTTTGCAGGACGCTGACAGTAAAGTTCATACTAGAGACAACATTGCAGATATAGATAATCATTTTCAAGTGAACAAAAGAAGAAGAAGATTCTTCATAGACATTTCATTTCTGTTGAAAGGAAAAAACCTGGAAAAAGCTTTGACAGGACTTAATTTGGCTATTCTTTCTTCTTCTTCTTGTTCACCGGCGGTAAGTCGCGGTTGTTCGTCCAAAATGGACTTTTGGCTTTTACCTTGACCTGAGTTTTGCGTGTACATCCGTTTTACTGGCTTATTTGTTTGCAGTACTCGTTCCCCGCCTCTCCGGCAGGTGTACTCCGACTTCGGAGGAAAATTTAGCTATGATCTCTGGTAAATCTGTCACCATATAAACATTGAAGTAGCAAATAACAAGAAAACTCAGACCGTGGATAAAATGAAAATACTGTCAGAAAACAAAGACTTGCCTGGTGTTGGTGAAATATATCTGCCAGGTTTTTTTTTTTTTTACCCTTGCTGTCACAGCAGTGAGAAGATAAGAGCTCTTACTCTGAACAAAGCCCCTGTGTGGGTTCCAGGACCTCTTCTTCGTGTTCACTGGTTGTAACAGCAGAATATTGTTGTTGTTTGTCCACCTCTGGACTTTGGTTTTGTTCCAGCACCTGAGTTTTGCATGCACATCCTTTACAGGCATACGTTGTTTGCAGACTTTTGGTTCCATGTCTCTCTGGCAGATGTACTCCACTCCAGACTTCTAAGAAGATCTCTTAGTTCTTTCTCATTTTCTAGCCAGAAGGGACATGTCTATATGTACGCTTCTCCCTGTCTAGCCAGAAGAGACATGTCTATATGTACAAGATCCCTGTCTAGCCAGAAGGGACATGTCTATATGTACACTTCTCCCTGTCTAGCCAGAATGAACATGTCTATATGTACAAGTCTCCCTGTCTAGCCAGAAAGGACATGTCTATATGTACAAGTCTTCCTGTCTAGCCAGAAAGGAACTTGTCTCTATTGCAGATTGTAAGATTGTAATCAACCTTCACAGATTCCGAGTTTCTGAACCTACTGAACAACGCCAGCGTCCGACAGCTGCAAGAACTGCAGACGGTGGGTGTCAAGAGGGCCAAAGCTATCTACGATTGGCGCCAGCTGCATGGCCACTTTAACTTTGTGAGTTTGACCTGATTTATTTATGTATACATTCACCTCTTCTTCAAAGTGGGCACCAGCTGTAAACTCTGGCAGAAGGTTCTAGTTGTTCGTCAACTTCTGGACTTTTTTTTTCCATGACTGATCTGCATGAGCATCCATTTTTACAGATCTGGCTTATTTGTATGCAAACTGTTGGTTCCTCGCCTCTCATGCAGATGCCCTCCGACTTCGAAGAAAAAGTCCCTAATTTGTTGGCTTTTATGACTTGCTTTTCAGGAGACAGTGGGTCTGTTTCCGCACACCTCCACACAGGTAATTCTGCTACAACAGGACATCGACTGATTAAACATGTGCATGGTTAGGTTAGTAGTGTATCCTTTACAGGACGTTGCAGAACCAACCCAGCAGCCCCTGGCTGTTGTGTGGTTTCTCTAGGCAAATATTTTCTGGACGGTAGGGCTCCTGATGCCACTGTCAAAACCAACGCAAGGTGCATGGCCAGCAGCTGAAATCGAACCCGGCATTACGAAGTGTTTACATTGACTTAGCTACAGAGCCAACTAAATTAATTGTGTATCCTTTACAGGATGTTGCAGAACTAACCCCAGCACTTTCTGGCTGTTGTTTTTCTGGGCAAATTTACGTCTAGGGTCTCGGCACCACTGTCGAAACTATCGCAAGACAACTGTCCGCAGCAGGGATCAAAACCCAGCACCCCGACATTATGAAGCACGTTCGCAACACCTGAGCCACAGGCGTCGACATATCTGTGCATGGTCATCTTAGAAATTGGTTCCTTGTCGGAGGCTCATCTATCGTAGATAGTATCTCTTTGAATGCTTCACCCTGTTCGTATTTATTGATGACTCCTTTCGGTTCTTTTGCCATTATTCACCCCAAACACGGGAAATCAACAGCTGTCTGGACAGTCGACTATTTCAGGGGATGGTATCATGTCATTTGCCGTGCTAGTCTTTTTGTGAGCTTCTTGTGCTGTTTTTTGGTGAGCAGTTTTCTCTGTGTTGGTGCGCAGTAGGCTGGCATACAATACTGATCTTGTTTTCAGTTCTCATTTTCATGTTAATGTCCAGTGGAGCTAGTATCACATCTGCCTTACAATAGAAAAGTGCTGAGTTCAACCCCTACATGACTTTTTTCTTGTTTAAAAAAAAATGTAAATTGTAGATTTCAGCTCATAACACACTTTTGGCAACGGATCATCCAAGTATTAATTATTTTAATAAACAAAACAGTAATAAATCAGGTAATATAATACATTTTGATTAAAGCGATAAATGTATAGATCAGATTGGGGGGGGGGGGGGGGGGGATCTAGGTTGGGGTTTGGGTAAAAGCCAGTTGTAGATGTTTTAGGGTTGTTAAAAGCACTTGTCTTACATTGTGGAAAAAAGAAGACTCAATATCGCTGGCAGACAAGGTTTTTTTTTTTTTTTTTTTTGGTTTTTGTTGCTATGTAGGAGGATGCTGTTTAGCAATATGTTTGTGTATGTGTGCAACTATGTGCAAACCCTAAACTTTAGACACCACCATCGGTCCTGTCTTTCCGTCAGCGATAACAGCATCTCATGATTATTGCCACAACGTGTGGTCATTCAAGGAAATTTATGGTAATGTTCACGGGGATAAAGACGAGCAAGACACCACAAACTTCTGGAGAGCGCACCACAGCCTTGGCAATGCAAGAAAACAGCTCGAAAAGCCCTATCTTACCACCCTAGATCATTTGACTGTCCCGTGACGTCAATGGGGTGAATAATTGCGAAGAAACCCTCATTTTATGTATCTTTATATATTTCAAAACTAATTTAAAATATAGATAAACAGTTTCAACTTATTTATTAGTAACTAAACATTATTCTATTTTAGTTTTTCTCATAATGGGGCCCTGTAACTTACATGGTGGAAATTTTCTGCGTAGAAGATACTTCACTTAGAAGATTTCACAATGTGAAGTGGGTACATCTAGAAGCAAGGTCTGAGATATGTGAAAGTGTTGGTATAGTAAGCGTGTTGTTTCTCCTGGCAGGTTGATGAGCTGCTGCAGGTGCCAGGTTTTACTGACAAGTACATCCAAAAGTTATTGCAGGTGGGTACAGTTCTCCGTCTTCAGCTTCTACAGTTGATAATATCACTAATTCTGAGCCAAAAACACTCAGAGGTCTTTATTCTCTTCTTAAGAAATACTCATATGTTGCTTACTGCTCACTTCACATGCTTGTGATAAAGTTCCACACCACACTAAGATGCTCAGTTTTCCCTTGGCGGCCATGCTTAAACACGCCAACATTCCTTAATTACCTAACCTTTGTAGCTTTCACTGGATGTAAACTCCCGCAAAAAGACCTAGTTGTGTGTCCACTTGAAACCTTAGTGTTTTTTTTTCTTGCAATAAATAAGTGTTGCATGCAGATAGTTTACAGATATAGCTTATTTGTGTGCAAACTGTTGGTTCCTTGCCTCTCAAGCAGATTTGATCTGTGAAAAATGTCTTGCTTTCCTATCTACCAACAAGATATCACCTCTAGTTTGAGGTCAATAAACAATGGTCCTTGAGCACAAGTGGACACAACTCACTAAATATGCGAGGGGGGGCTGGGGAGGGAGGGTGTAGCTACCTATAATATACGAAACTGGGGTCAACTAATCTTCCAGGAATAAAAGTGTGGACTCTGCCCACTGGACCACAGTCCAGAAATTTCTGCCAGAGTTTACAGCTGGTGAACTGAAGAAGATATCTGACTTTACAATTAATGTTTCAGCTTGACTGGATTTTTTTTTTTTTTTTACAAAATTATTTGTCAATAAACTCACACATTATAAATAATTAGGCTATTTTATTGATTAATCTAACTGTTGCTTTCTTTCCACATTCAGAGAAACCTTGTCATTCTGCCATAAGATAACCTCGAGTGACATGAACTGACCGGATCACTTTGCTGGAGTATTGCCATGGATATAACCAATAGTGAAGTGACTGGACAATATTCATGGAGGACCATGTCTGCTGAACTAACTAGTAGGCGATTTTTCCAAACGGTGTCCCGACACATTTGTATGTCGCCTGCAGTGAAAGGGTGTCACAGAAACAACACATTGTACAGAATAAGCAGCACATAATTTTAAACTTTAGCCTCTGGTTTAATAAAAAGATTGAATTACTGTCATGAAATTATGTTTGTCTAAAAATGTGGCCAACATGGGCAGTTTGGCAATGTCTGCACTAAATCAATGGTTTATGGTCATGAAATGTGTGAATTAACTATATGTTCAAGCCATCTACAGTGATAACTGGCTTAATGTCATGTGTGTGTACAATTTGAAGCCCTAGCAAGCATTACTGTTATCTGAGCCACTTGTCTTGTCAGTCTGAATGCGTGGTAAGTTGATGGTGCACGTCTGAATGAAGTTTTTTTTTTTTTTTTTTTTTTACATTCTAATGTGGGAATCGTAACCTGGAACCAGGAATCATCTATATCAGTGTTTCCCAAATTTTTCTTAGTTGCTGCACTTTTTTTTTTTTCAATTTTTCCTCGGCGACCTAAGTAAAAGTATGATTATTTGTATGTAAGAGATCAGAATACCCAAAAAAAAACTTGTGTGTCTTCCAATATTTCTTGGCACCCCTCTGAAGAGGCCGTGGCTCAGTTTGGGAATCACTGATCTACATTATTTACTTACTTACTGAGTCGCTCCTCTTCTGTCTGGGGTGTAGAGGTTTGCCAGACTTCTCTATCAGCAGTTTTCTTTCTGGCTATAAGCCATTCAAGTCCTCTGTCAGTCAGGGACTGTTGGATGTTGTCTTCCTTTCAAACCCTAAAGGTCTGGTTCCTTGGTTCTTAACCTGCCATGGTGGCTGACCCATTCTACATACATGTCTAAACCATTGTAACTGTGACTGATCTACTCAAGTTTATGAGTTTATCAGTCATGCTAAACATTGAGTCCCGTCTGGGTCACAAATAGGATTGTGCGTTTAAGGTCGCCACCGGTCCCCCATAGCTTCTCTTGCAATGTGGCTCCTTTGGGCCAGATCCACAGTCTTTGCTGGGAGAGGTAAGGGCAGTACTGCAGTATGTGTTCAGGGGTTTGTCTTTCTGCTCCACAATCACAGGCAGCAGATTCTTTTATGCCTATCCTGTACAAGTGTGCTCGAAGACCACAGTGTCCAGTCCGAAGTCTAAGAATTGATGTTTGTTCTTTCCTGTTGAGTTTGTTTATGCTGTCACTCTCTGGTCTGTAATCTCCATTCTGCCTTCTCCACTCCCGCTTGAAAGACTGCTTTAGCGCTGTTTTGGTTTCCTTGTAGCTGTGTGGTGGATGAGGTTGTGGAAGATTACTCCCAGCTTTTGCCAACTCATCTGCTCTCTCATTTCCTTGAATACCACAGTGGGCTGGTATCCACTGCAAGACCAGTTCTGCTTCCTTGGAGAGTAAGCCAATGTTGGTCCTTAGATCAGCCATTATTTTGTCTTGTTTTTTGCTGGATAGTGCTTGGAGAACAGACAATGAGTCGCTAAGTATAACAATTTGGTGCCCTCTGTGTTCTTGAGTGATGAGATGTTGGACTGCAGAGAGGAGAGCAGTTGCCTCAGCTCTGAAGTTAGTGCAGATGTCACCTGCTGGTAGAGAGAGAGTTTATGCTCTACTGCTAGGGGGTTTAATGTAAATTCCGATGTACTGCCTGAATCTAAGAGCAGCTGGCTAAGTGGTTAGAAAGCTGGGCCATCATTTGGGAAACCCAGGTTTGTATCTCAATAAGGGATGGAGATTTTTTCCTTTGTAACTCCTAACCTGCACAGATCTGGTTGATTGCACTAACCATGCCAGCTACAGTCGCAGGTTTCAAGGCTGTGATATACACATACACCGGCCCCAGAAAGTGCTAAATACAGGCAGTATTCTTCTTGTTTTTAGCGTTCTCCGGCCGTAAACTCTAGCGGAAAGTTCTTGTTCATCCACTTCTGGACTGCAGTCCTGTTCCAGAACTTGAGTTTTGTGTGTGAATCCGTTTTCAGATCCAACTTATTTGTATGCATCTCAGGCAGATGCACTCTTTGAAGGAAGCTTTCAATTAGTCAACTCTTACAGTGGGCCTCTTCTTCTTTTCCCTATAACAGGCCCCGGAACCTAAATAGGGAAATACAGGCAGTATAAACAACAGCTGTAGTTAGATTGATTGAAAAGCAGTGACTGAAATGGTTTGACCACCTAGTCACAATTAACACAGCATCACCGGTTGCAATAGCATACAACATGAGAATGGAAACATCAAGAGGCAGATGAAGACAAAGAAGAAGAACATGGATAGATGGAGTCAACAACTTGCTGAAACTCAACGTCACCACCATATGACAAGCTAAGAGCGTGCACTATCCTGGAAAATGATAATTAGCTAAGCATGCAAAGCCAACCAGCATTACACAGAGAAAGACAATAGATAAACAATACCATCTCTGCCCATAGAAAGCCATTCACTAAATCCAAAAGGATCATCATAAACGTCCACTTTTTTGTCGTTAAGCGAAGCGTAAACAAACTCAACAGGAAAGAACAACATTAATTGTTAGGCTTCGGACAGGGCACTGTGGTCTTCGAGCACACCTGCACAGAATCTGTGATTGTGGAGCAAAAAGACAGACCCCTGAGCACATACTGCACTAACTTCTCCCAGCAAAGACTGGATCTGGCCCAAGAAAGCTAGCTACATTGCAAGAGAAGGTATGGAGAACTGGTGGTGACCTTAATCACACAATCCTATTTGTGACGCAGACGGGACTCAATGTGCATGACTGATGTCGAACGCAGAAGAATTTAAGCTTTGTGGGTAGGAACTTTTTCTTCAGTGATCTCTGGTCATGCACTTAATCCACTGAGTTTTGAACTGGAATGTCATCTTAAGGTCTCTCAGGTTTCCCCATAGCTCAGTCGTCTGGTTGCATCACAGCTCCACCAGAGAGGATGGTTTTACAAGTTATGTTCTGGAGTCTGTTCAGGACCAAGTCACAGAGAGACTGTTAGACTTATACCTAATGTATATGAGTATTTGTTCAGTCTGCAGCGTCCATTGTGCAAGTGACAAAATTGTGACTTATTCTGTACAGATGACCGGGGAAATCTTGTTCATGGTGTGGGGAGAAACAGTTTTCAATCCACTGCTTGATAAGTAGCAATGGCTGTTGTTATTCCATGTCGGTGTAGGTCAATTCATATTCTCCTTTGGTTACCTCATACTTTCACATGTAAGCCTGTGTGTTGGTAGCTGTTTCGGATGCATTTTGTTTGCTTCTTAATGAATTTGGTGCCTGGTGTCTTCAGTCTGATATCGTTTCCAAGATGGTTATCCCAGTCAGCACATACCTGCAGAAGTCGGATGTGTTGGCCGAAAAGAGCAAATATCGCAGGGACAACACATTTACATCTTCGGATGAACAAAGCAGTATCATTTCTCACTTTGTCTTGGATGGTTAAATTGGCGGCTTTCCTCGGGCATCTAATTATGCAGGTCATTTTTTTTTTGTTAACGTAGGTTAGCCCTTGGCAATGTCCAATGTTTGGCACTGGTAGTTCAGTGTTGGTATAAATATACTATTTATAATTTGTTTTTCGGGGTCACACTTATATTTGGATGTCTTAATAACAGTGTCAATTGCTGTTGTATTTTCTTACATTTCATACAACTCACTGAATGGTAACTACTAAATCATCATTAGTGGACAGTTGGAGGTTATGTTGTACTGGAGGGAATACACCAGTAGCTGTAATGTTGCAGTTATCTTAGATGTGTTGTACTGGAGGGAATACACCAGTACCTGTCATGTTGCAGTTATCTTAGATGTGTTGTACTGGAGGGGATACACCAGTACCTGTCATGCTGCAGTTATCTTAGATGTGTTGTACTGGAGGGAATACACCAGTACCTGTCATGTTGCAGTTATCTTAGATGTGTTGTACTGGAGGGGATACACCAGTACCTGTCATGTTGCAGTTATCTTAGATGTGTTGTACTAGAGGGGATACACCAGTACCTGTCATGTTGCAGTTATCTTAGATGTGTTGTACTGGAGGGGATACACCAGTACCTGTCATGTTGCAGTTATCTTAGATGTGTTGTACTAGAGGGGATACACCAGTATGTGTTCTGTTAGTTATCTTACAATCATGATATCGAACACATCTCTCCTCTCTCATGTGTAAGTAAATATTTTAGGTCACAACATTGTTGTACATATATTACGTTCTGCGTGCGTATGAAAAACAGAGAGTGAGTGTTATATCAAACATGACACTGTACATATGTTTTCATTGTTTGTTGAATAAACCAGTCCACTAATGCAGCATTCGTTTTCTATTTAGAAGGTATTATTAGTGGTATTCTCAACTTTCAGGTACTCTCAATATTTTTTCAATGTATGCATTTTTTTTTTTTTTTCTATTCTCACTAACATAAATGTAGTGACGATGGCATCCTGGATATTTCTCTATATCTTTTTACTTCACTCTTCTTCGTAATGCTCACCAGCTGTAAACTCCGGTGGAAACCTCTGGTTGTTCATTCACTCCTGGAGTTTGGTGGCCTTGTTCCAGAACTCAAGTTTTTGCATGCACATTTATTTTACAGATCTGGCTCCTTCGTATGCAAGCTGTTGGTTCTTTGCTTCTCAGATAGGCATTCCAAATTGGAATCACCCCTTTTCTCATCTTTCACAGGGGAGGGTCCTTCCTTCTCTTCCCCCCCCCCCTCCAATACACAACCCACACGTTTCTCCCCCCCCCCCCCTAAATCAAGACAAAATCGATGTTTGTGCATGTTTTATTATCAGAAACATTTGATTGCAATTCTCAAAGATAAAACCAATGTTTTTCTGCTGATTGCTGTGAGGATTTGCCTTGGCAAGTCAATGATCAAACTCCCAAGCTGTTCAGAGTCAGCAGTTTGTGGGAACCCTGAACAGGTGGCCTGGCATCAAATCCCCTGGAAATGTGGGACCACCAACAGTGGTCGCTGGATGTCACAAACCTGCCAACCAAAACTAACACAATCTGTTTTCTATACAACTTTAGCACCATGTACCTTCTATTAACACTAGTGGACTTGCTAGCACTACACATGAGCAAAGATCCAGTTCACAGCAACAGGGACACCAACAACTAATTAATCACTGAATTATAAAACTCAACATTACCAAATGTTTCCTGGGTAGCAAAATATCTACAACAGACAGCACTTATTACATATGAATTCAAGTGTACTGGGCAAGCCAAAGAATGATGAATATACCACAAACATCTAGCAGATAGTGCTGGCACCTCCACTGGGCACTAGAATAGATAGAACTGATGGTGGTGACCTCCTGACCCTTGACTGGATACACAAACAAAGGTGAACTAATGATGATAGTCTGCCCTTTCAATGCACACCAATCTGATGATGACCTGTCCCTTGAATGCACACAAATACAGATAAAATGATACTAGCACTTATATGGGAACTAATTGGTTTCTAACAAAATAAATCAGCCGTCTGCCCCGGTTACTCCAGATTCCTTTCCTTGCATGGTTTCATCACATTTGAACAACAAGCTACAACACATCTAGGTCATCACTGGAGTCCTGTGGAAGACGACAAGATAGTTTATGAGCAGAGTAAATGGAAAAATTAGGGTATTACAGAGTGGCCGACCATTTGTTTAAATCAACCGGGTGGGGAGCGAGGCTCCATAGCTTGGCTGCTTCACACTCAGGTTAGTGAGTTTATCTGATGTACTGTGTTATGAGCGTATTTTTTTATGAAGATACCTGGGGATCATCAATGGTGCTATGAAGTCTGTGCTGTCAGCAGGCAGCCAACCAATCTGCAGAGAGAAACTGAGCCCCATGGAATAAAGCCCTGTGCAACAAGGCTGATCCTCTCAATATGAACATACCCTCTGGGGGTTGGAGTTACCCAGGCTTCAAATATATTCCATATCACTATCAAGTGCCATATAGCCTATCACAAGATATCACAAAGGCCTGAAAACAAGGTCCCTCTATCATAACCAAATGACACCATTCCTGGCACAGAAAGTCTGGACACTGATCATAAGTGTTCACTAAAATCAGGCATCTGATCAACTAGATCATCAGTCTGAGAAGATCTGTGCAGTGGAGAGTGACCAGGGGATCTGGCTGATGCTCAACAATGCGAGTTACAACTGTTGGTTGTGTCATTTACCAGCACTGCCTCTCATTGACATAAATACTTGCACTGTCTTCCACTGACATATTTACCATCCTTCTTCTTCTTCGTTCACCGGCTGAAAGTCCTGCTGTTTGTCCATTGGGACTTTAGCTTTATGCCAGGGCCTGAGTTTTGCTTGTACATCCATTTTACTGATTCGTTTGTGTGCAGTTATTCCTTGCCGCTCGGGCAGATGCACTCGGACTTCGCAGAAAGTCCCCAGTAAGTCAACTCCAATGATATGCTTGCTGGAAAGGCAGTGGGTCTATTCTTGTTTTCCCCCACAAAGGGGCCCCAGAACCCACAGAGGGAATTTAAGATGCACCGATCTAACCACATTTTGTTTCAACCAACCTATTTATTATCCCTGCCTTCTACTGATACATCAATGGTAACAAGTTGTCACATGTGACCTGCGTAGAAGAGCAGCAGGACTGACCTAGGGTTTATAACATTTACAACACTTAATATGGTGTACAGGCACATTACAAAATGGCACTCAAGATTAAAACCATGGATAACATTTGTCACATTTACCTCTCCCAAAATATTGGGCACAGAAGAAATGAGAAGAGTCACTAAACAGGCACTGAAATGGGGAAAAACTGGACTGTACCCCTCAAACAAACTTTGCTGAAAGAAGCCAACAGTACAGGACTGGATTCTTAACTACTGTATCAAAAGAATCAAAGAAAAAAAAAGATGTGTGTGAGTTATAAAGGCAGGTTGACAATATTGGGGTCCGAACCTCAACCACCACAACTGCAGCAAGGTACCTATCTGGTGGATTATCTCAAATAAACTCACTGAAACAAAAACAAAAATCAGACGTGCAGGATTCTAATCTCACTGGGCCGTGAAAGCAGGGACTGGCCAGTGGGTGCTGCAGAGTCAGAATTTCAACAAATAATTCTTGCCTGGGTGATGTGACTGTCTATACAGATTGCTGTGTGTTGAGAGGCAGAACAAGTGCATAGGAGTTCACGGTAAAAGGGAATGGATGTCAGTGCAACAAAGCCTGGCATATACAAATCTAGTTTTAGAATGGAGGTGGAGGCAGTCACTGCTGCCTTACACTGGCTTGAGAACTAGCTGCACACAAATTTGTGATTGTAACTGACACAATTTTTAAAGAGCATGCTGAGAAAGGTGGAAACATATGCTCTGTGCAGAGTGGCAGAGCTCCTGGGTAGTTAGCGTACTGAAAATATATTCTTCAAGGTTTGCTAGAGTGAGGGAAACAGTCAGATAGGTTGGCTGCTTCAGCACTACTTGGTGATAAACTGGTGCAAGACAAGCTAGATGCTGTGGGGGAGAGTAAACAAGTGCAGAGGCAAATGGTGCAGCAACAGGATCTGACCGACACTCAACACTCCGGGGAAGGGAATGACTGACATACATACAATCTTACTGGTACCAATCAAAACTTGAACTTTGTGTTGGCTGCTGAAGATGGGGATGGAGCGCTTATTCGAATGTCCTGAGTGCTACGATGTTGGTTGTTAACTCATAACCCATTGAAATCTTCGTCAGTATAGGTACCAGAGTTTCACTGTGTGGGTTCCGTAACCCACTGTGGGGAAAGCAAGAATTGACCTACTGCATGTTGTAAGAGTCGACTGACTGGGAGCTTCCTTCAAGTCAGAGTGCATTGGCCTAAGAAGCAAGGAACCAAAAATCTGCATACAAGTAAGTCAAATCTGTAAAACGGATATGCACACAACATGCATGTTCTGGAACAAGACTAATGTTCAAAAGTGGACGAACAACCAGAACTTTCGGCCAGAGTTTACAGCCGGTTAGCGCGAAGAAGAAGATGTACCAGTGGTCCACTTACCAAATCGAAGCTTGCACTCCTTGAGAGCCTCGTTGAAACCAGCACAGAGACTGATGTCAGTCTGGGTTTGCGTACACTCCAGGAACTGCTGAAGCTGGTGCTGGCACGGGTTGGTGCCGGGGTCATACCGCTGCTGCTGTACAGGTACTGGTGCAGGGGCCGCAGTGGGAGCGGCCTCTACATGGTTGCCGCCTCCCATGGAGCCTGTGAGAGCAGCACCCACCGTGTGGCCCTGGAGATGATGGGAACCAGTTTGAGACAAACAAGCATGAGGTACACTACACTACTCTATTTTATAAAACATGCCTATGATATCCTTCTTCTTCTTCCATCCTCCAATGGAGCATAGCCTCTCAGCCAACTCTACGCCAGGTCATTCTATCCTTTGCTATCACATGTAGCTCTCCCTATGTCCTCTCTAAGTTTTTAACTTCACTCTTTAGCTCCCTTCTCCATGTGTTTTTTGGTCTGTCTTTATTTCTATGCCCCTATGGGTTCCAATGCAAAGACACTCTAGTTATACTGTTTTCAGATTTTCTCAATGTGTCCTATTCAACACCGATGTCTTTTCTTCACCTCCTGGTCCACTGGGACTTGTTTAGTTCTCTCCCAAAGCTTATCATTAGTTATTCTATCACAACATTTAATTAATGTTTGTAGTTTATTGGAAACTGTTTTAGTTGTTCTCAATGTTTCCACTCCATATAGCAGTGCTGATTTGAAATTATAATTAAATATTTTAAGTTTAGCATCAGTTTTAATTTCTTTAGACCACAAATTTTCTAGTGTCTTCTTCACTTCAGTCGGTAACATCTATTTCTGCTGACCTGAATACTCTTGACACCCGTTCCCGCTTGGTTCTAAAAGTGCTTCAGATAAAACTTTTGACCTCATCACAGATTACCTTTATATCAGGTTATGGTAACCTGTTGCCCCAGGTATTGTCAATTTTCTTTTTTTTTTTTAAATTAAATCATCATCATGCTGCAGGACCTTGACAGAATGTTGTTCCCATCACAGCCTGTCTGACAGAGACTTGGCCCCTCACTAACTCTTCTACCCCATGCACTGTCCTGTCATAGGTGTCTCCTATTCCCACATGTGAGCTGGTCAACCCCTGCATCCTTTACCCGCTACAACGCTGTCTTCTCATGGTCACTATCAACACCAGAAGAGAGAGGGTTCTGAATACCGGCATTAGAGAGAAAGTTGGAATAAGGCTGTGTCCTGATTATATTGACAGGTTAAGAATGAAATGGTTTGGCCATCTAGTGAGAAGGCAACCAGACCAGACTGCAAATGAGACTTTACAGCAGAACATCTGGGAGGAAGACAAAATGAAGACTAAGAAAGAGATGGATGAATACCGTAGCTGAGACCTGCAAAAAGATGAACAAATCCATCATTCAAGTAACCCGAGAAGAGCAAAACAAATCAAAACCATGACAATGGGCTACAACCTGGTATCAGTGAGATGACATAAGAAGAAAAAAAGTTTTTCAGTTTCTGCAACAAGATACTGTTTGAGACAAATCCCCTTGTTGTCAAGATCTTTCAGAATGTCAGTATTTCTTTCCTTGGTCCAGGGTATTCCCAGAATCTCTCAGCAGCATTTCAGCTCAAAAGACTTGAATTTCTTCCTTAATGATTGTGAGGGTGTAAGACTCACACCCATATATTGCCATGGGAAAGTTGCAGGCTCTCAAAATTTTGACTTCCTTCCTTTGCAATTAATGCTATAGCCATTCTTCTCTAAACTTCTGCTAAATAGTCTCCCTAGCATTATTTCGAACCCTAGATAATCAAAAAAAATTTAAATAGCTTGCTCAGCCAACAAATGATATCATATCACTCTCATATACGCTGTGTACTCATCTTCAGCAGCCAGGAGTTTCAATTCTAATGGCACCAACAGCAAAATAGCTTAGTAAATTGTTAAATTCACATAACACTTTTATAAGATTAACCACACGGGAAACAAACTGGTAAATGGCACCTACCACAGCTGACCCCACAGCCACACCGGCAGCTGTTGTTGCCATCTGGGCAAACAGACCAGGCTGCTTGGGCTGTGCCATCATGGGTGCTGGCGCCATCTGGGGAGCAGGAGCTGGGACAGGAGCTGAATAAGTTCTGGCTGGCTGTGGGGCCCTACAAATGACAGAAGAAAAAAAAACATTTTGACATGATGTAAAGGATTCTTATCTTGCTAGTGAATCATAGAACAGTCAGAGCATATCTGCTTGAGAGGCAAGGAACCAATAATCTGCATACAGATAAGTCAGATCGGTAGAATGGATGTGCACACAACACTCAGGTTCTGGAACAGGACTACAGTCCAGAGGGAGATGATTAACCAAAACTTTCCACCAGAGATGCAGCTGGTGAACACGAAGAAGAAACGGAGGGCTACTCAACTAGCCGCCTGTGGGCCAAAACGAGCAGAGACCAAGCAAGTGTGATCAGCTGCTCATTTGCCAATTGTATTATTGATTTTTCTACGCTGGGTCTCAGGTCCTGCAACAATCCCCATTTCCCAACATTTGGGCCCTGGGTACACTTAGTTGAATGGCAGGTACTTTAGTTAAATTTTCAAATTCATTTCTTAATTATAAAACCAGTACAGCTGGTTTTCCAACACTTTCAACAATACCTTATTTATGCCTGTACGTCAATTCTAAGTCAAGAGTTTGTGGAAGAATAAATAAGTGAAGATTAAAGCGAGTTACAACTTGCTGCCGAGAAATTATAAGTCTTTGAAGAGTGTTTAATCTGCTATAACTTATTGAGTAAAAAAGTAAAGGGACCCCCTTCCACGCGTATTGGGTATATAGGGTTAGACCTATAGACCAACCCACTCAAGGCTGGGTCAACCTGGGAGCACAGCTAATTTTTTTTAAAAGTCCGGCTCCGGCAGGAAGCAAACCCACAACCTCAGAGCTGCTTCCAATCTTTACTGAAAGGCTGATGTGGCAGCAACCTGCTGACCACATCTTATATCAGGCTGGGACAACCTGGGAGCCAAGATCATGTTTGAATAAAATCTAATTTGATGCAGATTCAAACCCAAGAGTTTCAGGACTGAGGGAGAGCACCACCATGACTCCCACTTGCACAAACATGACACATTTAGCTGCAAACTTTCCTTCCTGTGGTACTATAATTAACACTATATGTAAAATAATTTCCCCCATTGTGAATGATGAGCTACATAAAAATATAGCAAACAATATGCAGTCGAGTCCACATAAATCGAACTGTGATAAGTTTAATTTTGGTTAAGTCAACATGACCAGCTTAGTCCTTGCAATTTTTTCTATTGTGTGTGTTGTCTGGATAAGTGGAAGTCCTGATAAGTGTAAGCATTTTCTTAGGTCCCTGAGACTTCTACTTATCCAGACTAGACTGTTTTGGCAATTTACTGTCATTTTTTAAACTTATTTATACAGAATGGACGGGATACATTTTAGCTCCAAGTTCTCTTCATGTGGTACTATTTTCAATAATAGTCATGAACTTGTACGAATGAGTGAGAACACAGGTTTGACAACAATATTTAAGTGACAGAAGCTGATGGCAGGAGTGTACACTTGCATGTACAGCACAAATAAAAAGATAGTGAGAGCTTTCAGACAAATGGATTGGACATGTCAGCTCTCCTCCGAACTTCTACCCTGGCATTATGGCGGCCAAACGAATACCCTAACAGGGTCTCAGTCCTATGAAAAATGCGGACTTCTCGCTGAGGAACAAATCGCTGCAAAACTAGGATCGGCTCCGAATAACGGAACAAATGCTCTAACAGGGTCTCAGCTATATTTTAATTGCGGACCTGTTTCTGCGACCATGCCTCAAAGCCGACAGTATCCCCCGTGCCGTGGATGGGGGGGGGGGGGGGGCTAAACTAGATGGATGGGACTCGCAAGCAGCAGCTACCACATCTCCTGCAACTTACTCCAATTTATTTGCTCGTGAGTCCCAGGCATCTAGTTTAGATCCCCATCCACGCTGTTATGCACAGGATACTATCAGCAGCGAGTTTAACCGCATTTTGTGCATGCCGACAAGTGTGAGGACAACAGCGACGTTAATCTGCGTCGGAGGGCGTGGTCTCCGCGCCATGTCATTATCGTCTGTAATGTTGCATGTCTTGAAATTGTCAATGGTCGCTAGCATAATCTGCAGAAATGCTTGAAATTGTCAACGGTCGCTATTATCGTCTGCAGTGTTGCGTCTCTTGAAATTGTCAGGTAATCCTAGTTTTGCCGTGATTTGTTCCTCTGCAGAAAGTCCGAGAAGTCCGCATTTTTCATAGGACTGAAGCCCTGTTAGGGTATTTGTCTGGCCGGGGTAGAAGTTCGGAGGAGAGCCGACATGTCTACTATTAGATAGTGTACCGCAGAGAGCCCTGACACTTTGGAGACCTAGAGGCCGACCAAGCAAACCCTGGACAGATGGAATATCTGAGGTTGTAAGTACCATCTACAAAGCACATACAAAGATTGCACCCGATGCCTCTTCAAAATCTGATGCAGAAATGCAGATCAGAAGTGTGTGTGTCCACCTGTATAGATGTGTCTAAGAAAATTTGTGTTCGCTTTTTCATATAATGTTTTTCTACCATATATAATTAAAGTTAAAATTACTAATTCATATACAAAGTCAAAGTGAAATTGCCACATATAACTGGAGTACAGGATGGATGAGGTATCAAAGATTTCGGCACTCTTCCGAATACCGGTCCTAAATTATTCCGTTTAAAAAAAAAACCCATTTAGGGCCTAAGAAGGCCACTCAGTTAAAATATGGAACAGAAACTCTACAAACTGTGCTTCCCATTATTATATAATTTCAAGTGAATCAAACTCTCTAGTCTTCTGTAGTACAGTTGTAAGTATACCACGCGGGTGACCAATGTTTAGCCCCACTGCGCGCCGCAGGAGATACTCTCGGTGGTGACGATAAGTCACCGGAAGCCCGCAATTTACATGTGATTGAGGCCCTGTTAGGGTATATTTTCGACCTCGATAATTTGGGACCATTATTCGGAGGATAGCCTATTATTTTATTAATTGATAGTTATTCTGATATTTTGTTTCTGGAATTTTCTCAACTTCTTTTTCTACAATGATTATATGTGAGTTCCTCGAATGAAAATTTAGTCGACATACCTTCCATCGGTAGTAGCCACAACTTATAATGTTACGTTACAATAACAACTATTATATAGAAATCAAGAAATGTACTGTTAAATACAGTTAAAACAGTAACTGAACTAACTAACTGCGACGTCGCTTAGCAGGCGACATCATGACCATGAATCTAAATACTCGATGTGTTAACAATTATGGAAGACACAGTAAAACATCAGAGACTTCTAGTGACATTACCTGCCCATACCGCCGGATCGTCCTGATCTTCTAGGCATGTCTGATGTGGAAGAAAACGAGAGGAAACAAATTAACAATTGCAGAGAAAGGCGAGATATGACCTTCGTCTGACTGGTCCAAGTAACGTCTGCTCCAGCCTGATGCAACTTCCGCTTCCACGGCCGGATTTGAACTTCTGCATGCGGAGAGTTCTCTCCTCGATACGTCTAAATTGCTACATCACAGTCGGCATCTTAGACATGTTTACGTGTGCCACAGTACTTGTGGGTTAATTTATGAACCCGTCTCCAATGGGACTTTTTTTTATATATATTAAAGCCTCACCCTGACTGGGCTTTTGGTAATTTTGTAACAGTCCTAACAGTTGAACGTGGTTTCTGAGACTTGCGTCTGAGGTGAATCCCATCTGAATAATGGCACTTTGTTTCACTACTTTCACCGGGTGTTAATCCCTAAGTGTGCGGTCCAGATGGGGTTAAACGTCAGTAACTCACCTGTGGGTGTATCAGTCTGTCCCCCCCCCCCCCTTCTTGTTTTTTTCTCTCCCCACCCCCACCCTCTCTCTCTCTCTCTCTCTCTCTCTCTCTCTCTCTCTCTCTCTCCAACTCTCACTCACATCGCACTTCAGGAGGGCTCTCACGAAGAAAGCATGGGGTAGGGGGTGACGGTCCTAGCTCCCCCACCCCTGCACTGCTTATTTTTCGCTGCAAACTTCCGCGGAAAGTGCTGGTTGTTCGTTTGCCTCCGGACTTATTCCAAAACCCGAGTGTTGTATTCCATTTTACTTTTCTCCAATTTTTTGTCTGCAGAAGCTTGGTTCCTTGCCTTCCGAGTAGACTTTTAGCGGGGGGAAAAGGGGGGGGGGTATAATTAATTATGTGAGATCTGTTAAAAGGACGTGCACGCAACACTCAGGTTCTGAAACAAAACTTAAAGTCCAGTGGTGGACAAACAACCAGAACTTTTCCCTGGAGTTTACAGCTGGTGTACGCAAAGAAGTAAAAAGATCCCCAGATAGAGGTATCGAGTCTGTGTTCTTATCCCGCCCATGCCATGTGGTTAGGCAAAATTAACTTTAAAAACGTGTAGTGTGGTAGTAACCATACTTTCATATCTGGAAATTGTATGTGACCACGTACTTTTGAAGTTTTCTCCGCTGATGAAGACTTTAGTCGAAACGTTCGCTTATCATCTCGTTGTCTTTCGTCGAGTTTACCCGCTGCTTGTAGTGTTTGTTATTTCTTCTCCTGAAAAAAAGGGGCCTTATTCTAGGGAAGACTTCCTTCTTTGTCATTCTCCCTTCCTCATATACAAAGTATCCTATAAATAAACAGAGAGGGGAACCATTTGAGGCCGTTAAATATTATGAATTAATCAAGTAACAGAAAGTATTGTGAACGGCACTCATAGAAAGAAGTAGAAAGATAGAAGACAACATAAAAATCGAAAGCTATAGTTACCGTGCCGTTCACAATACTTTCTGTTACTTAATTAATTCATTTGGAAAGTACCGATATCGAGCAACATAAGTATTTATTCACTCAGAAGCACTGGTGTTCATGTCTCCCATGTGGTCTAGTGGTTAGGATTCCTGGCTTTCACCCAGGCGGCCCGGGTTCGATTCCCGGCATGGGAACATACCTTTTTAAACATGTTCTTGTTGTTTCTTGATCAACAGCCAGCTTAACATGGATCGAAACTGACAACATAGAACTTTTGTATGTTTAATAAACAGGCAGACAGATTAGCACTAATAAAAGAAGTTGAAAGATAGAAGGACACAAAATATATACAAATCGAAAGCTATAGTTACAGGGCCGGTAATCGAGCCTGTCATCTCAAAATGGCCGTGGAAACTAGTGTACTAAGGACACTGTCTGTTTGTTTATTTTATATATATAATATATCTGCGGCCTCAATTGTTTACCTCTATTTATTTATGTAACTTTCAGCTTAGAACTGACACCTGCGTGAGTTCGGGCGCCCCATTTGGTCAAAACAAGAACAGACCCACGCGCCCCTTATCAAACATGTCGTAAAAGTCGACTAATAAAGTATGTTCCCTTCCAAGTCGGAGTACATCTGCCTCAAAGGTGCGAACCCAAAAGTCTGCCCACAAATAAACCAGATATATAAACCAAAAGAATGTGCACGTAAACCTCGAGTTCTGGAATAAGACTCAAGTCCAGTCCGGAGGTGGATGAACAGGACAGGAAGGCAAAGAAAGTCCTCTCTGAAGATCATGTGTCACTAGGCATAAAGAGAACTGACAATCCTCAATTGTGACAACTTCCACCCCCCCCCCCCCCCCCCACCCCCGCCTTTTTTCGATTAAGAGAACACCACTCTCTCATCACCACCTTGACATACCTAATTTGGGAAAGAAATTTAAGCATCTTTAATTCCCCTACACCCCTCGCCCCCCCACCCGCCCCCCCCCCCCTTTTTTTTTTTTTTTTGTTAAGTATTAAAACAACATATACGCCCTCTTCACACCATACAAATGTTCTAAGGCATTTTCCCAAACGTGTCTTGGTTGCGGCGCCTTTTTTTTTTTTTTCAATTAAAATTTTTCCACGGCGCCCTAGCCTAAGTAAAAGTATGACTATTCGTATCTTGGTTAAATTAATTATGAAGCTTTTACCATATTTTACATACCCCTGTGAAGAGATCCCGGCTCCCCGGAGCTTCCCAGCGCACAGTTTGGAAATCACTGTTTTAACACCGGGTGGGGCCCGGCTCTCTAACGTAGTTGGCCAAACCGGATTGCTTGGAGACCAGGTGACGAACTCCTTGTGGCCCGGGTTCACTCCCGGGGGTAGGCAGAAAAGCCACATTTCTCCCAGATTTACGGTATTTACAATAGAATCAAGGCCGAAAGGTTGCGATATCCATAATACCGAGCATAAGGGTTAATAGCTCGTGGCTTCTGGATACTAAAACAAACAACACCGGGTGGGGGAGGGGGGAAGGTTGTCACACATCAGGAGATACGATCAGGTTTGTTCTACATGACATGCGTGCTGAGTTGGAGGTGGTTCCTCATCTTACAATCACCAGATAGAATGTTCAGGTGTTCTTATCCAGCCCATGTCATTTGGTCAGGCTTCATGAAAATGTTACTTTTAAAAAACCTCTAGTAACCATACCTTTATGTCCGGAAATAGTCTGTGACCACATCTTTCGAAGTTTTCTTCGCCGATGAAGACTTTGGTCGAAACGTTCGCTTCTTATATCTATGTCTTTCATGTCGTCGAGCTACTCGCTGCTTGTAGTGTTCATTTCTTCTCCTGATGAAAATAGCTATATTCCAGGAGAGACTTCATTCCATGTAATTCTCCCTTTCTCACATAACACAAAGTACTAACATCGCGCAATATTCGCTTACAATCATTCAGAAGCATTTGTCTTCATGTCTCCCATGTGGTCTAGTGGTTAGGATTCCTGGCTTTCACCCAGGCGGCCCGGGTTCGATTCCCGGCATGGGAACATTACCTTTTTAAAAACTACTTGTTGTTACCACAATCCTACCGAAAATGGCACGTATGCTGCTGTAAACTTTCATTAGCCTGTCAAGTAGCACCATTACTCGTGGCATGATATGTATATGTTAGAAGCGGATTCTTCTGTGCGAGTTTCGGCACCCATTGTGGTGGAAACAAGATCAGACCCACAGGTACCCTAACAAACGTGTCGTAAGAGTCGACTTATTATTTATATTTCCTTCGAAGTCGGAGTACATCTACCTCAAAGGCGAGTATGCAAAAGTCTGCCTACAAATAAACCAGATATATATAAAACTAATGTGCACGCAAAACTCAATTTCACGAAAAAGACTAAAGTCGAGAGATAGGTGAACAGCCAGAATTTTAAACCGGAGTTTACAGCTGGTGAACCTGAAGAAAAAGAAGAAATTGGAATCTAAGCACGTGTGGACGTTTCCGGAGTGCCGTTTATATATCCAAACTCACAAGTTCTATGTCACACACAGGAGTTAGCATCAGACACGCAAGTTACAGTTGTTTTCTTCTTCTTTGCGTTCACCAGCTGTTAACTCTGGTAGAGAGTTGTGGTTGTTCGTTCACTTCTGTACTGCAGTCCTGTTCCATAACCTGAGTGTTGCGTGTGCATCCGACAGATCTGAAACATTTGTGTGCAGACTGTTGGTTCCTTGCCTCTCAGGCAGATGCACTCCGACTTCAGAGGAAACTCCCAATAAGTCGATTCTTACAACATATTTTGGGGTAGTCAGTGGGTCTATTCTGGTTTTCCCTATAATAGGGCCACGGAACCCACAGAGGATGACACAGTTGTGTTTCCTCTCACTATTTACGGAGTCGTGTGCTGCCGGCCAAAAAGCAACAACAAGGGTGTTTAATTGGTCATGCGTCTTAGTACATTTGTCATGCAGCAATATTTTTGAAATCATATAAAACATTAAACAAACACTTGAATAGAGAAGTGCTATACATGGCTTGGAGGTGGGGTTTGGGTGGGGGGGGGGGAGGTGGATGAATTTCTGGGGAGGCTTAAGATGCCTCAACTCCCATTTCCGGAGCCCCTGATGTATCATCTGTTAAAGCAGTGGTTCTCAACTTTCCTAATGCAGCGACAGTTTAATTCAGTTCCTCATAACTTCAGTGAATATGTGTTTTCCGATTGTCTTAGGCGACCCATGTGAAATTGTCGTTTGACCAAAAAAAAAAAAAAAAGGGTCGCGACCCACAAGTTGAGATTCGCTGTATTAGAGACTTCATAGTTTTCACATCTACTGATTCATAAAAAATGTAAAATCGGTGAATCAGCCAAGTACACATGTGGACTGGCATCTGAGACAACAGATCGCGTCCTCCAAGACTGTCCCAAATACAACACATCAAGGCAAAACTTTTGGCCAAGAGAAACATCGGTGCAAGTCAAACTTTACGGGTCGCTGAGTGAATTACAAAAGACAATGAAGTTCATACTAGAGACATCATTGCAGATATAGATAATCTATTTCAAGTGAACGAAAAAAAGAATTTAAACAATTTATGGA